ATTTTTCCTTGGGTAAACCGTGAATACTAATGTATACTTTGTCAAGGTTATCAAAGTTAAATGAGATGACATATTCAAAGTTCTTTAAAATCAAGAAAATAGAACATTACTTTTCATGTTAGGTGGGTCTTTTTTTTCTTCAACTAATTAGAACTACATATAAAAAATAGCTTTGTAATTTACACACTTACGATTTTTAAATCTAGCATCACTGGGGAGAAATACAGATTTTAAAAAGAGTAAAGTCCCAAGAAGAACTTGTAACTTTTGAAATAAATTTGTGAAATGTGGCTTCAAAATTTTATGTTTATTTTCCCCCAGTTTTTAAATTCCTTGTTCGTGAATTCCATTAAAGAGATTTATGACATTTATTCCTGTAGGAAAATTTTATAGTGAATTTCTCCCCTACATTTTACTTCATAAAATATAAATTATGTAAAACTAATGTTGAACATTTTTAAAATCCTGTAGTGCCCAGTCAGTTACATTCATGCTGAGCGGACACTGGAGAAAATCATGTACTTATAAGCCTGTGAACTTTCATGTGAAGCACAGAAACTGTAAATGTGCAGGGAAAACAAAGAAATGTTAGTGCAAATAAAGAATAGAAAGCCATTCTTCCTCCAGCTAAGACAATAACAGCCCTTCAAATGCTGATCTGCTTTAGACTCCAATGCCAGTGGCTCATGTCAGAGCTGAGTGATATACAAGGTCATCTTGATGTAGCTCTGAGAGAATCAACTTGGAAGATGCGTTTGAGCTTCACTTGTGTCCGTGTTCAGATTCAGTGGGATGTCTGTATGCCTGGGGTGAGAGCTGTGCTTCCCCAAGGGAAATGGGGTTTGCACACTGCAAGCTCTCTGCACCGTAATTTTTCCTCTCTGAGCTGCGCAGGAGAGGCACAGCAGTCTCAGAGGCCCATTGTGCAACAGCAGACCTGGGGCCAAACATCACCGCCCAAACTGACAGCTCCCTAACTCCTTGGAGCTTCTTAAATTTCTTTACCATACAAAGAGCAACTGAAAATTAAGTTGAATGTTTACATTAAGAAAAACTTATTACTGTAAAGGGAACTGGAGATTAACCTTGGTGGCTCAAGCGTTTGCCTGGTAAGTGCAAGGTTATGAGTTCGATCCTTGATTAAAAAAAAACAAAACAAAAAACACCAAACAAAAAACAACACTTATTATTGTGAAAGAGATATTGACAAGAAATGATGGATTGTGTGTCTGAAGTGTACAGTATTTTGAGTATTTTGAAGGGGATCAATGACAGTGTCTTTTACTGTAATATATTTTTAATTTTTTTTTGTACCAGGAATTGAAATCAGGGTCTTATGCTTGCCAAGTGGGTGCTGTGCCACTGAGCTACATTTGTGGCCCCTGTTATTCACTGAATTCACTGCTGTATGAATCTTGCTCTTTTCCAAAATAAAAATAATCACAAAACGTAAAGTGTTGAATAACTTTAGCCATTATAGGTCACCTAAAGAACCAAAAGTGGACTTCCACAACTGCTTCAGAAATTCACAAGCTGGGTAAATGAGTCCAAAGGTTAATGGTAGTGTGTCTTTTACTGCCATAGATTAAAATTTTAAAGGCAGTCATGTGTCCTGGGAAGAGAACCAAGAAGAAGCTAACCCCTTCCTGTGAGCCAGTCAGCATGTGTGCTTGGAGACAAGAAGTACTGAGCTCCTGACACCCTCTCCCCCCAACACTGGCGGATTTGGAGAAACACAGTCTGAGATGGTAGCTACTGAAGTAAAAAACAACTTAATGTTTGACTGACTTTGCAGGCCTAAAGCCAGTATTCTGAGCGTCTATTTAGAGGATAACAATATGCAATATAGCACCTATCAGGAATTTCTTTCTGAAGGTGATAGCCATTGTTAATTCCCTATTATCTTGTTTTAAAATCCTATATCATTTTCATTGTTTTGTTTTGTTAGGTTTTATTATATCTGATGGTGTGGGCATATGTTTCAAAGATAATATATATTATGGTAGACACTGTTGATTTCTTATTCTCTTGTTTTGAAGTCATATATTGCTTTGTTCTGATTGATTTTATTCTGTTCTGTTTGATTTTATTATGTCTGATGGGATGGGCAGCAATTTTTAAGATAAAAGGCATTATGGTAGCCATTGTTGATTTCCCATTACTTTGTTTTGAAGTTCTGTATCACTTTCACTATTTTGTCTTGAGTGGCTTTATTCTATTTTATTTTGTTTGGCTTTACTCTCTTTAAAATAAAAAAATTTAAGAAACTGTTCACCATATATTTTGAATGCACTGGGGATCTTCACCTTGCAACAGGTCATACATAGAGTCATTTATAACTTTTAAAAAGTCTCAAATGATTTAATCCACATGGTCCTGATAAATAACTAGTGAATAAGCTCCCTGGACACCTGCTGAATACTCTGATATTCAACAGGTGCTCTCCTTAGAGGCAGAAAGCCAATGAATAACTTTCTCTGAAAAATAACAATCCCCTAGAGAAGTAAACGGCTAATTTATCTACCTACTGTCTTTGCTAGTGTGCAGAGATAACTGTCCCCTCACATAATGCCTGTCCTCTAATGTTCCCAGAGCTGATCAACTCTCAGATGTTGTTTTTTTACATTCACTTGGGATATTTATTCAGTTACTTTGATGTGCAAGGTCTGAATAATAAATTAAAACATCTCAAACGCAATAATGCAGAATTCTTGGCAAGATGTAACACAACCTCCTCTCTTCCCCTCTCCTCTCCTCTCCTCTCCTCTCCTCTCCTCTCCTCTCCTCTCCTCTCTTTTTCCTTTCTTTTCTTTTCTGTTCTTTCTTTTCTTATTTCTAAGTTCCGAACCAGTCACATTTACGTTTGACATGTGCCTTCTGGGCCTCCCTTTTTCCTTCTCTTGTAGTGAATGCAGTAAGTACACTGACATCTCTGGTCTTGGTAAAGCATCATAATTGAGTGAAACCTTAAGAATATTTCCCATAAAGGGAAAGAAACAAATAACATCAAAGATTCTGTTACACAAAGAAGGGAATACATCTGCTTTCTACAAAGTGAGATTCCTAATAGCCTTCTCCATGATATAGGAAAATAATCATACCTACAATATAGGTACACACACACACACACACACACACACACAGTAGTGGAAACAAAGGATATGAAATTAGGGTTCAATTTGCTTGATTGTTCCTAGAAGACCAAGGTGACATATCCTGCAGTTTTCTACAAGTTTTACAACATTCTACGGGAGACAACAGGATTATAAGCAGCCCCCAGGGTATCTCATAAATCTGGCCTGTGAGAATTTGGAAAGCACTTTGACCTAGGAGAGAGAGACAGAATTTGCCACTTTGACTACATGTAACATATCTCTACCACCCAGGCCAACAAGCATTTATAATTATTCTCTGGAGAAAGTTTCTAGTAGATTTTTCTCTTATAACCAGAAACTCCAGCTTTTTTCCTGCTTTAGGAAGTGAGCCTGTTTTCACTTTGCTCTCTGTCTTCACTTTCATCCTTTTCTCCTAAAGCCCTACAGCTTAAATGCCCAATGTCCTTTCTTCTTATCAGACTAATTTCTAAGTATATAGATCTCATCTCTTTTATTAGAGTATGCAGTTCTCCAGTGAGGAGCTGTTTTGCGTATTTCTTTATCTTCTACAGTGCTTTGAATATACTATATGCTTGGTCTTGTCATGGCCTTTCTCTTTATGTGTTAGAAATGGGTGTTCCCAGGCCAAGGAGAGGACTCTCTTCTCTACCATGGTACTCTTTATTTTAAGTAAGTGCACTTCAATAAAACATTTGTTGTGAATCTATTGGGACTGCAGAAATAGTGAAGGACCTCAGGATGCCATCTACTTCTCCTGCCTGATTCCCTGTTTAGTTCTTTCAATGGCTGAAGTCACCTTAGAAGCCCTCTCGGTCTCATACCATGACTTGACATAGAAAAAGAGGAATACTCCATCCTTTGCACTCATTGAACCTAAATTCCAGGGTCCCACATGGGTCGGCGTATTATTTCAGGCTTTTCATAATGGGAATAGGGTAAGAGCAAGAAAAATTAGGGAAGAAAAACTATAATGATCCTGCATGAAGAGTGACCTACAAGACAGTTCATTTCAATGTTATTTAGGTCAGAACAAAAGCCAATTTCAAATTAAATGCCTATAGTGTAGAAGAATATTCATAGGTATGAGGAAATGAGTATAACAGGAGGTTAAAAAAGCAAGTTACAGAATGGTGGGTATTTATTTGATGAAATTCATAAAAGTCAGAAATCTAGAGGGATAAATTTCAAAGTATTAATAGTCTACCCAGGTGATGGAATTATACATGATTTTTTTTCTTATAAATGCTTGGAAGCATTTTCCAAATTCTCTGGATAATCTGAGTCAGAAAAAAAGGATTCACAATATTTTCTTAAGGAAAGAGTCTTTCTAGAATGATAGCACTTTCTGACAAGATTAGCATAAGGAAAGAGCCCCCATGGACCAGCTGACCCAGTGATGGAGTCCAAGCATGAGCCATTTTTTTCTGCCAGTATTTGAAAGGAAAGCAACAGCACATGTATGTTTTAAACTATTTCCAACTTTTGTCTCGTTACATACACATACACTAGGTAAACAGACATGTTTGTATTCCCCCTTCAAGTTACCAACTGCTCACAAACCGGGTGGCTTTGCTATGTTAAATCAAATTCTAGAAATCTAAGTAAATCAACAGACAGATCTATAAGCAAAAGGCTCACTCAACAGACTACATTAAAAATTTCTAAGTAATATTTCTAGGTGTTTAAAAGAGATGAAATCTTTGGAATGGATATATGGATGGATGGATAAATGGATTGGTGGATGGATGGCTGGATAGAAAGTGGACTGAAAGGTAGTAAGAAGATAAAAATAGAGACAATATCCTTTGACTGCACGGAAGGCTAATGCCTGAGGCTTGAGACAGTCTGGAGGTGGCAGGAAAGGTGTCTGAGCAGAAGCCATACCTTGGTCTGGAATGTACAGAACATGTGTGTTAGAAATGGGTGCTCCCAGGCCAAGGAGAGGACTCTCTTCTCTACCATGGTACACTCGACATCGTCGTCCATCAAAACCACATCTTTCTTTAAAGCTTTTATTGCAAAAAACTGATTGGTTTTCTTGAATTCTGCAAGGAAGACCTGGAAAGAAGAGGAAGAAATAATTTTATTTTAGAATTTGGATTTCCACTCATGAAAGACAAGGCAAAGTACCTCAGAGAGGCCTGTTCTGGGTGGGCCAAAAGGGAGCTTTCTCCAGGTTTTCTCCATCCTGGGTAGGATGTTACTTAGATAGAATGGAGCATCTAATTGGTCTAGGATATTGCATAGCAGTGTCATATTGTCTTTGTACCTTTTAAAGTGTTTCTTGAAATTATTATAGATTAAATGTATTTTCAATACATGAACAATTCTATTTAAAAAGGTATGCCCTCCAGGGTCTTACATGTGTAATAGAAATTCAGAGAGAAAAAGTACACACTAAAGGAAGAAGGGGATAGTGCTGAACTTGAAATATTACTGATAATGGGCACAAATTTAGCTTTACATTTCAACCAGCACAATGCAAAAAAGAAAACTTGAGGAATATAGTTTTCCTTATATAGTAATAAGTAGATACCTTTTAACCTGATTATATAAAAACAATATTTTTAAGAGCAACTGTATGTCAGATAATCTGCTATGTACTTATTTGTGCTATCTAATTTTATTATCTAATTTTTAGCTTTCAATATTCTTTTTTTTTATCAGTACCGGGGATCAAACTCACAACCGCCTGCTTGTAAGGCAGGTGCTTATGCCGCTGAGCTAAATCCCCAGCCCCTTCAATATTGTTCTTAACACTTAGCTTCTAATGACATCTCTCTGACCTGAGTTCAGAAGGTAATATAACTGCCCCCAAATTGTGGAATTACTCAGTGGAAGAACTAACTCTGAAGTGTATTTTTCCCACTGGATTTCAGGTGTCTTGTATCAGTGAAGGCCAGATGATACACAGTGACTTTCATATCCCAGCAGTGCTAACGTGACATTTAGACTCAACAAATTTGAGATCTGGTGGCATTTCACAGACACTGGCTAGCTGTAGACATGTGGACAATGCAGCTGATTTCTCTGGGCTTCACTTTCTTACATGAAAATGGATAAACATTGTTGTATTCTCTAACTTACATGACAGTCTTGAGACTCTAGTAGGATATCAATGGGAAAGTCATTTGTAAAGTATAAAATGATTTATAAACAACAATCATTCAGAATTCTTGTTATTGAAATAGTTTTAAAACAATGGAGTGTATAATTTTGGAAAGCATTTGAAGGTCTCCCTACTTCTTATTTATCACTCTTCAATTTTGTTCTTTATTTGTATACATATATGGCTGTCATATAAGACAAACCATGGGATATATTTGAGCTGTGTGTCTGACTGAAGTGTGTCACTTAACATTATGTACTTAAATTGCATCCATTTACCTATGAATACCTCAAGTTTATCTACTTTTTTGCTACATTTATACTACTAGTTTATTTTAGTTTGTTGAAAACAAAGTTTGTGCTATTATATTTTTTTGGTAAGAATCCTTTTGGTTTATATCTTGTGCAGAATAACTACTTAGAAGACAATGATACATAGTGTCATAACTATTGTTATTCTCTTGTTTGGTTATTAAATTTTACTTTTTTAAGTAAAATAAAAATAGGACACTTGTAATTTGTCATTAATGTTGACTTTTTAGAGATTGTGGAAGTCAGTGTTACTAAACCAGTACCAGCAATGAAAATACGAGTGTGTAGGTTTAAAACAATATTATGCAGATCCATGGTAGCTGAACTAATAGGAGGTACACAGAATGTCCCAGGCAAATGAATAATGTTCATTTTTCTAAACAGCATGTAATTTGTTCTCCTGGGTTTAAAGTAGATTTCAAACAGCGCATGTAGGTTAGCATATTGGTGAAGACCTGCACTTCCTATACAGAGTGAAAAGAGAAAATACGAGTTTTGGAGTTGAAGATTCCATAGACTGTTGAAGTGCGAGGTCATGAGTTTGATCTCCAGTGTAAAAAAGAAAAAGAAAAACAAAAGCAAACAAACAAAAAACCACTGCTAAGTGGTGTGAAAAGGGAATTGGAGACATCTTATCTTACTTTGGTGTGTCCTTCTTCGGTCCTCTCAGTGAACAGGGACCCAAAGTCCCCATGGAAAGATATAATCTGCTTTGGACAATGAGTAGAGGACATCTAGCATTCCAAGCTGCCCCTTGGAACATGTACCAAGGCTTGTATGTGTGTATGCATGCATAATTTAATGTCATTTATTTTTGAGACAGGGTCTCATTGCATAGTTACACCTGGCCCTGAACTCACTGTGCAGCCTAGGTTAACCTTGAACTCACAGTGATTATCCTACCTCAGCCTCCCAAGTGCTGAGTTTACAGGCTTAATGTGCTGCTTATTAACCTTGTCCAAGTGTAGAAATCCACATGGGAAAAAAAGAAAGATAAACATTTCATTAACAATTAAAAGTACTCTTTTAGTAATTGTTTCTTTCAGTAAAACATCTTAAAGCCAGCCATAAACCAAGAAGCTGAAAAGGCAATTTCCATCTATATAATGTGCTTTCAATTTTTGGAAACAGGTTATAATTACGCATTAATTGCTGCTAAATTATAATAAGGACTGGCTGTAAAATTGCCTATTACATCCAGATTAAAACCAAATGAGTCCATTGTGGCTCACTTTACTGCGGAAATAAACTAAAAGAATTCATGGACTACAGCTACAGTTTGGAGGGTGGAGCAGATTTTTGAAAAGTAATGGACTGGTGTTTAAATTTAAGCCTTTTAAAGCATGATATCATTCAGCTGTGGTGGATGCTCAGTTGCATTTTGGTTTAATATTAAGTTAACTGAGAACATTTTCCTGCCAAAGTATGGTGTGCATATTTCTGGGTTTGGATGCGTAAGTTTACAGGACAGTAGTCTTTGATTAAATCTTTCTGAGTAGCTGTGTAAGAGTGTAAAACAACTGGGAGCCCTATTAATACATTAAGTACCTTTAGTTCTAAAATAACTTGGAAGTCTATACATTCAGTATCATCGTTCCTTACACAGCCACTAGTTTGAAAAGTTTCAGCTGTCCTTGATATTTTCTTAAATTATGTTTGTTTCTTTCTCATCTCTTTTCTTCCGTGTTCTTCTTTCCATCCTCTCCTCCTTTACTTATCCTCTGTGAGTAACAGAGACAGCTCAAAACCTGAGTGTGTGGCAGGAAAGATTTTGAAGAAAGGTTTTTTTTGTGTGAAATTTTTCTTAGGACTCTCCCAAGCTACAGGCCCATATTATGTCCTCTCCAATGTCCCCCAATTCATATGTTGAAATTTTAACTGTTAGTACTTATGTGTGTCCTTAAATGTGACTATACTTGGAGATGAAACATTTGAAGAAGCAATTAAGGTTAAATGAGGTCATTAGGGTGGATTTTAATCCAATATGATTGGCATCCATACAAAAAGAAAATTTAGACGCAGACAGGCACAGAGAAAAAAAATGGTATGAAAATATAGGGATAAAGTGACTACTTAAAAGTTAAGAAGAGAGATATTGGAAGAAACAACCTGCCAAAACCTTGATGTTGGTAAGAGAATAAATTTCTCTTGTTTGAGTTACCCAGGCTGCAATGGTTTGTTACAGAAGCCCGGGCAAACTAATACAAGCCTGAAGATATTTGTTAGATAAAAAAATTACATATGAAATAAAACCAATATTCCACACTCAAGGAAGCAGCAGTGAAACTAAACAATCAAACAAGCAAAAGATGTGTATGAAACACTAAGTGGCCAAAGAACCTTCTTATTTGTTACCGAGACATCCATCTCATGCACACGAGGTGTGTGTGCCCCCAAAGCAAAGTAGTAGGAATCAGAGGCCCCTAAATAACCATTTATTCAGAGATGTCCACAGTCCTCTTACAACACATCAGGAATGTTTTCTCCACACTGCTCCACTCTGGTTCCAAGAGCTTAGTTCTACCCAGGGGCACTGTTCTGTAGTTCTTGGAATCTGGTGCATCGAATCCTACAGCGTGGTAGCATACCTTGCCAAAACTTCCCTTCCCCAGCATTTTATGCAAAATGAAGTCATCGATTTTTAGCTTCAGGTGCAGAGTTGGTTTTTCTATGTTTGGTTCAGGTTCTGGTCGATGGCACACTTTATCCATCCCATCCAATGGAGAGTCCCAGGAGATTCCTTGAGGCTCTACAAAGACAAAACCAGTGGTCAACTGTGAACATGGAGCAAGGGAAGGTCATTATATTTACTTAGAGCACCTGTTCTTTTTTCCACTTTGCATTCTGAGGCTCCATTGGCAATAACTGGGTAGAGGGCAGGCAGTTTTCTACATTTCTGGCAACTTCATTACTTTTCTCTCTGTCTGGAAGTCTGACCTTTGGGCTGTGGACTGCCTCTGTCTAACCAACCATTCAATGTAAGAAACATTTCAATCAACAAAAGACCACCTATGGAAAATAAAAGAGCGCTTTTTTTAAAATGTCAGACCATGGATAAATAGATATTTTAATCAAATTCTAGGGGAAAAGTAATTCTTAATCATATATTTGGCTCATAGACATTAATTTTGCCTATGAGCCTATTTGATACCAATGGCATTAATTTCTGTAAATTACAATATGAGGGCAGAAGGATAAAATCTAGCAGATTGTTAAAGATCTGTACTGCCTTATTCATTGTAGTCTGCATATCAAGATACTGCCTGCACTGATCATTGCTGAGATAAGGTCTACTTCACTGGTGACCTTTCCTAAATCCAATCCAAACCTTCTTGAAAAAATTTTATGTCCGTTTAGCTCTTGCCTAATATCAGAAGAGGTATGCAAAAATTTGGAGTGGGAGGTGGGGAGGTGATTCTTTCCATTATAATATTGCTTTCATTTTAAAATATTTTTTCATATTCTCTCTTAAATACAAGGAAAGTAATTCACATCGTTTGTGGATTCAGGTCTCAGAGTCATGTGCTCATATTTTCCCATGAACCACCTTCAAACAGCAGCTTGGAAAAAATTCCAGAATGTCATAAATATTAAGAGCTTTTGGTCTGGTTGTTCTTCTCTTTTCTATTCTAAAATTTTTCATAAAAGTCTTCCCAGAATAAGAACATCTTCTGTGATATTCCAACTAGTGTGCTTTATGATAGATTTATTTCTGTAAAATCATTTAACATAGGCAGAAAACAATATTCTAAAATTCTAAGAAAACATTTTCAGCTATTTCCTCCAGATCTATCCCACTGTCTGCCTTCCTTCTCTCTCTCTCTCTCATAAAAGGCATTGTGGTGAGGCATGCTTCAGTTTTATTTCTAAGAAGTAGGAGCTTCTTACTTGGCAGTCAGGTCTAAAATTGTTAAATAGAAAAGGATCTCTTATTTGACCAGGTGAACTGAGAACTTAAGTCTAGAGAACACCACTTAACGTTGATTCTCCATTTACCTGTAGCAAACCATTCCGATATAATTACCTTTTTTCCCAGTTGGTAAGTATGGTAGCCTTGCTTCATTTTTGACTGAACATGGGAGACCAATTTCAACTGGACCTTCTCGAAAGATGTGTTCTGAATCTCTTAAGGAGCGAGCCTAAATTACAAACAGAGAGTCAGACCACTCACCCCTTGTGAATGGGCCAGCTCTGTCTGCTGTCTGAGAGGACAAAAGCCATTTAAAATTCCAAAATGCACAGGACAATAAAAGTTCCTCTTTAACACTTTTTAAGGATTCCTTACTTCCTAAGGGTCTGTTGTATTTGGTGCACCAGCAAAAAGTACTTAGCTCCTTCCCTCTTTTCTGGGGCCTATCTGGAATCTCCTACACTATCTGTCTGCATCCTTTCTAGCCAATAAGAAGAGGTTGGTAAAAAAGTAGATTACAGGAACAGTGCAAAGTCTTAAAGAGGATTTCTTTTTATATATGAGAGTTCATTCAATGCTAAGGTATAAACAGCAATGCAAAAACTTCCACAGATTCTTGTTCTGAGGGTAGTCTAGTGATGAATTTGCTAGAGTAAATAACTATTTTCCCTGGGTATTACATAGGTGTAATGTATGGATTTAAAGCTGGCAATAAGTCCTCAATAATTTTAATAAATTTGTTTCTGCCTCGTCTCACTCCATAAAGAATTTAAGACCCTACAAAGATCTGCGCGGCATGGGTGTCAAAATGAAAGATAGCTAAGTAAATGCTTGGAAATACAGCCCAGGATGTTCTATGCTGCAGGTCAGAGTGAGGATTTGAGTGGACATGGGGCAGGGAGTTTGCCCGTTCCACGGTCTCCCTACCTGCTGGGTGCTTTCAATCATTGCTAGTGCTTCAGCCATTAGCTTCTGGTTTATACCACAAAGGTTGGCAACTTTTGTCTGGCATCGGTGGTGGACGTTCATGCCACATGCTGAAAGGAAGAAAGTGGATGGTGAGCAGGGGAGAAAGTACCCACTGGTGCTGGGAAATCACTTTCTCTTGGGATAGATTCAGAGTCTTTCTGCTAGAGAAGGATTCAACAAATGCTGGAACAGAGGAGTGTGACCTCACACTCGAGTCTTAAGTGTCCCCTTCCCCAACTGGGCTTTGAGGAACTTTATCCTCCTGGCTGAAGCCCCAGCTGCAGCCTCAGCCTGTGAGATGGAACTGAGAGAGAAGAAATGGTGTTTGTGTGTGTTAAGGGATGCGAGTGGGCGGAGGAAGAGTGGCCCTGTGCCAGGGGTTTACTTTGGGGATGGGCAGAGTGAATAAATTACGAGAATTGGTGGTGATGAGGCTGTGACATAAGGGCACAGCTCTGAGCCCTGGCTGGGGGTGACTGTCAGGTTGGCTGTTTCTCTCGAGGGCAGAACTGATAGCTTGGATGAGCTGGGACCCAATGGACTTTTGGGAACTTCCAGAAAAACATAGATATTTTACTTCTAAAATCCATCTGAACCTGTTGAAGCAATATCTTTTCTTTGGAACAAAGAATAACAGAAAAGGTAGGGAACATGTAAGTCTCAAGATTAACTTTTCATTTTGTTGCCTTGTGACAATGTTGAGCTGTTTCTCATGTGAACACTGCTGAACTTCTTAGGCAGCCACACTGTGACTTTGCTAGAGCTTGTCAATGGGACTTAGCAAAGCCACCTCCTGTTCTTATCCCCTGTCCTTTTCAGCCAAGCCTTGCACATCATCCTTACGGTCCTATCCTTGGGATAAAACTCTCCTAAAGTTCATGAACATTTCTTCTTTGATTGACAGATGCCTTTCTAACCTTGTTTGGAAAACACTGCCACACTTCTCATGGCCAGTACAACAAATCAGGGGAAGAAAACCTAGTGTTTGAAGATGTCAGAAGTGATAAAGACCTAGTTAAAGGAAACCAACCAACAGAATCAGACCTCTTTAGAATTATCACCACACTTTTCAATTATAATAAGCAAGTTTTTGAAATATTATTTTGGTTTTCCATGTCTGGTTCTTCTCCTTCTTGCTTGTCTCATATTTGAGAGCGGGTGGCAAGTGAAGGCTCCTAGCTAGGTATCCGTGAGAAGGAAGTGATTGGGAAGTACTTGAGAGTGCGAGGGGAAAGAGGTTATAGAAGGGAGGTGTTCCCTTACCTCAGTTGAACTTCACAAGGGAGAAGAAAGTAATTGTGGATCTGGGAGCACAGAGACACTCTTCACTGGCCTGTAATGCCAGGGGAGGTCACAGCAGAGTGCATCTAGAGAGGCTGGTCCTAGACACTAAGATCTCAACTTTGACAAAATCACAGGCTCCAGGCGGTGCAAATACAGCAAGCCATAGGCGTGTCCATAATGGGTTTCGCTGTGACACCAACAGGACCGACAGTAGGGTGTTAAAAGATATTATCATGTCTTTAGGACCCCTAAATCTTGTGTGGTTACAGGAAAGGTGGAGGACCACTGCAGTTAATAGCGTCCCACTTAACGTGGATTTCAAGGTCATAAAAGAAAGTGGTATTTCTTGTACACATGAGTTATCATCTTAAATGTGCATTTATGATGCAATGATAGAAAGCAACTCAGGGAAAGGAAACCAATCTGTTTTCTTTCAATGTTGTATGTCATGACATTATTTTTGTTATTTCTAAAGAAAAGCAAAGAGAAGTGGGAAATATTCAAGAACAGGTAGGGAAGGAGGACACATGCCAGTCATAAGTTACACAAGGGTCTGACCCTACATGACCTTGCATAAGTCTCAAGAGTTTCTGAGGAGGGTCCACACCCTGAACTTATGCTCTGTCCAGACTCCATGAGTACTTGGAATCATGAGTCCTGAAAACAGTACTATTATGGTTTATTTCTAGCCTCATGAGCTCACAGGTGGGGGTTTGGGAAAGAGGATCATGGGGTTGTGACTGGATCATGGGGTTGTTATACTCATCAGTGAACTAATCCACTGATGAGTTTATAGCTATGGTGATGTAGATGGAAAAGCCTGATTGGAGGAGGTGGGTCATTGGGGGCGTGGCCTGGAAGGGTCTCTCTCCCTCCTTTTGGTCTTGATTGCTCTCTGCTTGTTGCTGCCATGCTATGAGCTGTTTCTCCTCTGCCATGTCCCTCTGCTTTGGAGTCAGTTGACTATGAACTCAAAGCTCTACAAGTTGCAAGCCAAAATAAAGATTTCTTCCTTTACACTGTGGGTGTCAGCTATTGTGTCTTAGCAATAAGAAAGTAACTAACAACAACTAACAATAAGAAAGTGTTCATGACTTCTAGTGACCAAAGGACTTCTGTTGGATTGAGAGGGATGGGGTGTGCCTGTGAATTTCTGTAAAGACAACTGTCATGTTATGTTACAAGTTTTAGAAAACCCAAACTTTGCTTTTGAAATGTCATTGTTAAAAAGAAAAAATAATGTAAAGATTTCCAAACTCTAGCTGATAGAACTCTAGTGTCAAACCTACTTGCTTCTGCAAAAATTTAAATAGAGTTGTTATAACAGAATTATTTAGTAGGACCTAAGAAATCCTGCAAATTTTAATTTTAGCTGCGTACCATTACACTTGTGTGCAAAGAGCTTAGCTTAGTGTTACGGAGTAGGCATGTGTTTATCAACTACAATTTTTCATTCATCTTGATTAATTATTACATTGATATAAAATCTAAGTGAAATTCTGACATCACTTACCTTTGGTTTTACTTAGCTTACAATCCTTCAGATAGTTCATCATAAATCAATACAGCATTTTCTATGTAAATAGCTATATTACTATTCCCAATATATATGCTTAGATATAGCCACAAAAATCCATTTGAAGCAAAATATTTCATGTGTATTTAAGATCTTTACTATAGGAGGTTGGTTTTGATAATCGTGCTTAGAATTCTGCATCACCAGCATGACTGACATTGGGCTCATTTCGCAGGCGTTAGGTTTTAATGTGATGTCCCTAGACACATTTTCTTACTTAACCATACAATGTAAAGTGAGACACTTGTTGAGAATTTAGTGCAACAGAACTGGTATTTTACTTTGCTTCTTGGAATTGTAGCTAGCTCTATGCTTGTTTGAGATGGACACTGTACTGAAGAAAGGCCACCATTCCCACTACTAAATACCATAAGTCTCTGCCACTAACCTATCAGGCGGCAACTTGATCTCTGTGAGTGCCAAGAGTCCCTTTTGATGATTATTTTCATGGAAATTATTGTGGAGGGAGGGGAAAGGGGAGAGAGAAAGGGAGAGAAAAGAGAGAGAGAACAAAGTAGGCAGGATAAAGACTGATAAGGGACCTTAACTTAAGTAGATGATTTATAAGGGGGTAAGAAAAGAGTGAGGTAAGACAAAGGACAAAGAGAACTAGAGAAAAAGAGAAAAATCAAGAGTTGAAGATGCAGGCATGTGGAGTTGAACAGAGTTGAGTAACCGAGAAATTTGGGGGGAATAATAAAGTTAAAAATAGAAAGTGAAATGAGAGGGGAAAGGAGGGAAGGAGGGGTGGGGAAAGGGATGGGGATGAAAGAAAAGAGGGAAAGGAGTTCTTGGAATGAAGTAGGTAAGAGAGAATGGGGAAGGAATGGAGGGGAAGGGAAAGAATGTTAGAAAGAATGGAACAAAGCTGCACACATCAGTGTGAAATAATACCAAGGATTCTTTGGGGAAGTTCTAAACTTCCTAGGCAGGCTCTCAAGACCAGCTCTGCGTTAGCAAGTGGGCACTCAGGCTCATGGAAATGACACTTGGCCTTGAGACCATCACAAGAGTAATGGCTGGTGAGAATTTATTTGTATTTCCATTTACACAACTAGAATAGTGGGAGATTTGGGGCTCTTAGGACATACTACATCATACCCTTCATGTCCATATATTCTTGAGTAGGCGTATAGAGAAAAGCATGTAAGTGGTACTTTGGGGCAATGAAGGGATCCCTAAAAGTTCACTTTGACCACCTGTGTCTGCCTTGGGGATTGCTTAGGAAACCTAACCCTTCCTGCCTCCCTAAGATTTCACTCTAGACTCAAACAAGCATGGGGGCACATAAGCATCATGGAAGCTGCAGAAGATTGTCTTTCCCCTCTGGCACCTAAAAGGGAAGAAACATGTAACCAGTGGTATTAACTAAGACAGGGCAGCAAGGACAAATCAAAGGGCTAATGCATTTAATAGTCCATCATACAAAGGTCTGCACTGCAGCAGGAAACTTTGGGGGACCATGTTATCCAGGCCCTGCCCCTCCCTTGTTCCCACCTGGAAAGTCAGTTCTTCTTGGGATTTTTCCTCCCTACTCCCTCATCTTGGCACAGCAGCATTACAAATTTCTAAAGTTTATTTCCTTAGCAATTTAGAGATTTAAAGCAAGAATGCCGCTTGTGTTGTTTTTTTTGTTTTGTTCCCGGATAGGGCTGAGTAACACCATCAGCAGAGAATGGCAGGCTTGGACTCTGCTAATGATCGCAGCCCTTGGGGAAGATCAGACAAGGGAGAAGGGAGATCAGTGCTGAACTTGGTTTCTCATTCAAGGGAGTAGGGGTTGCTACTTGCAGAGATGAGGGGAGATGGTCACTAGCTGGTGCAAAGGGGAAGGCTGAGGTATCACATAGCTAGACTTGGCTGGAGTTAGGAAGAGTCAGGCCAGACCCTACCAAGGAGACAGCAGGCCAGGTTAGAGTGAAGTGGAGTCAGAGGAGAAATACCGGCTTTGCGTCTCCTCAGGGCTGTGTATAACAACATAAAGCACGAGCCTGGAGACTTGATCTTGAACCTGAGTTCCTGCGCACTTTTCTGGACTGTGAACACGACAGACAGTATTGTAGGGTAGAAGGCAAACAGCAGCAGGGATGTATTGTTCCAGGAAGTGACATTCATGGTCACAGTCACATCCACATGAGGCTGGGGTAGAAGTCATCCTTGCTACCTTCTTCTTGCTAAGACACCGCACAGTGCCCCAGTGGGACCATGCTCACCTCCCATTGGACTCACCATCACACTTGAGTCCTTGTCGTGCCAGCCCCCACAGCAGGGTCCCACAGTGCTCACAGAAGGTCGGGCTTTTGTAATTGTAGACTTTGAATCTGTGTGGCATGTCTATCTTGAATCTCTCCTTGTGGAACTGGAAGAAGGGCAGAAGGTGTCATTACATACATGTCCCTGGGACCCATCTTTTGTCACAGACACTTTAGCCTAACAGGAACTTCAATACAGACATAGGCCATCCCTGGGACTTGTCAGGCCTTCCTGTCTTGTTTAAGGGTGGCAGAGAGCTCATGGCTCTTTCAGGTAAGGATGAGCTGGATGTTGGCACATGTTGAGCATACAGAGATCCTCAGCAGATGTCTAAGGCATCAGACAGACAGGTGAATGTCATAGGCAGACAGAATGGGGTTATTTATCTAATGGGAGCTAAGGAAATGCTGCTTTTGTTTAAACAGATGAAACTGCCCTTCCTGCTTTAATATAAATATTTCCTTTTTTTTTTTTTTAGCCAGAACCAGTGCTTAACCTTTGGAAGGATGCTAAAAATGCCTCTTCTAGAAGATGATACTAAAATAAAAGCCTACTATTAGCTTGAAGCATTTTCTCACCCCTTACTCATGAACTGAATAACAGAGGCAAGAGACAGCTAAGAGTTCTTCCCATGAATAGAGGACAAGTATGTCACATGTGTCACCTGGTACACTTATGGCATCTGATGTAATCCTCAGGCACCACATTTGAAGGAGCTCTGTTACTTCCCTCACTTGATAGGTGAGGAGATCAAGCACAGAAACTTGCCCAGGTCACACTGTTATTGAGTCTGGATAGCAAGGAGCTTGGCAATCAGAATCAGAGAGCCTACCATTCTATTTGAAGTCTCCAAAGAAATACAACTTAAGGAGAGAGGTAGGATAGAGAGATGCTAGTGGTAGATTTATTTCAGGAATTTGAAGTTTCCCAGAGTTTAAATCCTCTCCTTCAATCAAAGTTCTTACCTGAACAATAAGAAAAATAATGACAATGACAGCAACCACAACCATGGGCAACTTACTTCCTGGTAAGACTGCAAATATTCTTTGTGCAGTACAAAAAGTTTTATTTACTTAAGATTTATAATCACTTCAGAGGTTTCTAATTAAACCATTTACTTGAGGATATACACAGCAAAGAAGCTTTATTTGCTAACATAGTGATAATATTGCTTCTGTGGTTGATGTTGTCAGCATCGGAGCCATAGAATAGCTGCTTTGAATTATTTAAAAGCTGCTCAGAACCCACACTAGTCTTTTTCAACCCTCCCCCATAAATAAATAATTTTCAAAGCCCATTTCATGTTATGGAGTATGAATATGGTAATTAATAGGTCAAGGTCCCAGATAGAAAGAATTCATTTCAAACTCTAGTACAGGCTTATACAGCTCAAGATAAGGCTGATAAAGACTCTAGATCTGATCTTTCCAACATGCAAGCAGAATTGCTGCTTAGGGTTAGTGAACACTGAAAACATGGTGAGCTAGAATTGGAAAAGTATGTTTAAAATACACACCAGATTGTGAAAACTTGGTAGGGAAAATAGTGTGAAATAACTTATTATTTTTTGTACTAATTATAGGCTGAAATGATAATATTCAGACATATTGGGCTTGACAAAACATTGACTAAACTTGAGTTCATATGTGCTTTTCTCTTTTATTTAAAGTAGTTACTTAAACATCTAAAACTATACATGTAGCTCTCAGACTATTTCTATGAGATAATACCACTTCAGGTTTAGGAGTATAAAAAGGCCCTAAAAATACTTTCTTGCATGTGCACAAAATTAAGACTTTCCCAGAGAGTATAATATTATTCATACAGTCATGTATTCATAGAATTAATGATTTATAATAGTTGACCTTGTGCCAGCAATTTTGTTACCCACTGAGGTTAATAATGATTGCTCATAATTCATGATTTTTCAGAAAAGCGGATAGCATCAAGTAATGGGAGAAGGATTAGAGGTGGCAGTTTGGTTTAAACAAACAAAAACTCTGGAAGACAGTTGTCTTGAGTTTTTGTCCCAGGTTTGCTACTTGTAGGTGACTCACTACATAGAGACTGCTTTGACCACACTGAGCCTTACCTGAATCACACGGTAAGATGGCATTATGCTTGTGTGGCTCTGACTGTTAGAGAATGGCCTTTCTTTCTCCTTCTTTCTCTTTTTTCAAGTACTTAGGATTGACTCCAGAACTTTTGTACTGAGCCTCAGCCTCAATCCTTTTAAAAAATTATTTTGAAGTTTTGAGACAGACTCTATCACTAAGCTGCCTGGGCTGGGTTTGAATTCATAAGCCACCTGCCTCAGCCTCGCGGGGTGCTGGTGTTATAGGTACGGATGTCCTCTCTGGATGGAAAAATTCAGCTGATTTGCCCTCTCTACCTGTCCCTTTGTCAGGGAAGTTTACACATCTGGGCAGGGTGGCCCTGCCAAACTCAAGTGAAAGTTCAGTTCTGCTGCCATTCTGCCTTGCTTTCTGATTTCTGATTCTTTCTTCAAAGCCATATTTATTGCCTACTCTGCTTCTTCTTCCAGTGTGCAGACTTCCTTGAGGACATAAACGAGCTAAAAGGAGCTTCCTCACTGCCCACCAAGAAGGCTGAGCAGGAGGATTGTAAGTTTGAGCACAGACCAGGCAACTTAGCAACTTAGTGAGGCCCTGTTTCAAAATTAAAAAAGATAAAAAGAGCTGGGAATGTAGCTCAGTGTGAAGGGCTTGGGTTCAGTCCCCGTTATTGGAGAGAAAGCTGCTACCCCATTGGCTCCTATCTTGCCCTACTCCTTTCCAGTTAAAATTGCTGATATGTCATTCTATCCAAAACCCCTCTCTGCAGAAGCTGGGACTCTTGTCCTTCTTGCCAGCAGACTTGACTTGCTTTGCTTGTTCATCATTCTCCAGCTCCATCTATCTCTCCTAGCATGGTAGTATCTCCCACAGCTTTTTGAACCCTTTCTTTCCAGCTACCTGTCCTTTGTAGTGATCTCTTGATAATGGTAAATCAATGCGCATCTTGTTTTGGTGCCATTCTATAGTCATCTTCACTATAGCTCCGCCACACTAACAGGAACACAAACGTCCTGCGCTCCCTCCGATCAAAGAGCTGCAAACATCTCCATGTCATCCTTGTTTCCCTCAGCAGTTCAGCTGTATAGAATACAGTTTACCCCTTTCCTTTCTAGCTCTAGAACCTCATATGCTCTAAGTGTAGGACTCTCTCTTCAAACCTGGGTTCTTTGTCTTTCTCTCCCCTACCTAACATCTAATTTGCAATTAGCCCTGAATTGTCTTCTTTCTTTATTTCATTACTAAGGAATCTCTTAGCTTTCAAGCTCACCTATGAAATATCATCACTCTCAACCTTGTAGAACTGGTGCACTGGCTCATACAAATCAAAAGTGCAAAACTCTCCATTGATAATTATACTTAGATGTCCCCTCGCTTCTCAGCTGGGACAGTAGTGGGAGTCATCCATATGTCCTTCTCTTTCATTCTCCGTACTTATTGCTCTAAAATGGTCCAAGCATTTCTGAAATAGAAATCACTTGAAAGTCTTCTGACTTTGTTCCATCTCTGCTGTCACCACGCTAATACAAACAACCTCCCTCTCTCCTGATATGACCCCTTCAGCATCCTCTGGCTTTACTCTCACATCTTAATGCACTGTTTCTCTTATGGTGTCACAAGATGAGCTTGTTATTATGAGACCCATCATTATCAATCACTTTCTCAGGGTCTGAAGGATCCCTACATGATTTACATCCTGCCAGGTTCCCCAACTTGTGTCCCTTTTTCTCTGGGCCTCGTGCATCTAGCCATACCGGTCTCATTTTAGTTTCCAGAGCGTGCTGGACTCTCCCCCTTCAGGGCCATCAGTCTATCTCAGACCTCCTTCCTCTGGCTGGTTACACTTGGCTCCTTTCACTTTCAGGTCTCAGTTCAAATGCTCCTTTGCTTAGCGAAATGCTCTGACCACGTGGTCTCCTTAGGCCCACTGGTGATTTTCCATCCTTGTAACTTGTTTGCTATCTTTATAGCACCTGATATTAATGAAACTGATCACATTTGGTTTATTATATGTTTCTCCAGCTTTGCGGAAAGTCCATGAAAGCAGAACTGTGCCTGTTTTGTGCTGTGCTGTACATCTGACATAGCATGATATTGTCCATGAATTAGACACTCGCAAAACATCTGTTGGATGAAGAAGTAGGTGGGAGAAGGAAGAAAAAATATTTTGCAGTGATAGGCTGCCTGACTTTCATCTAAGGTGCCCTCCTCTACAAAGTCAAACCTAACCTATTTTTAGACTAAATCTCAAAGTTCATCTGAAGCAAGTATTTCCACTCAACACTAGGATTACCCTTTTGCTACCATCTCTCAAAAACCTTGTACATGTTTCTGTCCTCATACTTTTAATCACTTGTCTTTATTTACTTTTTCATTGCCATTACCAGCTATACAGTCCACAAGGCTTGTTTTCAAATCCTTAAGTTGTGCTTTCTGGCCACTTTCTTCACATTTTTTCTGAAAAACTTCTTACTGTGCTTTTCTTTGGTAACTCAATACAAAGTTTTAAAAAGAAAAAGACTTTAGGGAGATTCATATTCATGGATAAGTTTAAGGATTCAGGTTCAGGCAGGTACTATTACAAAGAACTAGCGTGCTATAAAGTTTAACAACAGGATAAAATTACTGTACGTCAAAGAGAGGATTCCATTTATGGCACATACATACCATGGTTTCTCGGCTATTGATAGCTGATCCTGTGCACTTAGCTATGACTTTATCAATACACTTCTTGTGAATTGCTGCATTACATTCTGAAAACAAATAATGATGGCTTAAGATTTCTAGAATGTAAGGTGAAATTAAGTTTAAAAAATAGTGACAATACGACAGAAATCTTTTTTACTTACGTCGACACTGGTAGCCCTGTTTGTTTAGACCCCTGTAACAAAGCACATGGCAGATTTGTTTGGATGTTCATGTCAACATCAGAAACCACTTTAGAGGTGAGACAGATCTCATGACTTCCTAAGGTCACAGGACATTTTTGCTGATTAGTAGTCCCAGTGTATCATTTGCCAAGCCTGTGTTTTAATTTTAAGCTAGTTTACTAAAAATCTGATAATTAAATAAATAAAGAACCATTGATTTTCTTTTTCATGCTTGTATTTGCTAAGTAAACACAGAGGTTACAATGCCTAAATGATATGCAGCACAGGCTCCTGGCAGCAAAGTTTCATGTCCTACAGTAAAAAAAAAAAAAAAAAAAAAATCATCGTCTCATTTGAAAGTATATTGTCTCTCTCATCTACTGTCTTTGTTTATATGTAAATGAACAAAGACATCTGTAACGTATCTTACTTCCTCTTTCTGAGTGAGAATATTTGCAACCAATAAAGCTTAACCTTAAAACCAATTCCGGAGTTTGAAAGAAAGAAGACTTAAGTAATTAGAAGAAAACAAGTTAATAAAAATCCATTGCAACCTTTTTGACCTTTGGATATCCTAGTTAAATTGGAGTTGTGCATGAAAACATTCTGCAGGAGCCCAACAGAGCATTCCTTAATAGACACAGATGCTGAAAATAGAAACAGAAGTGGTTCGAAGTCTCGATTGTACGGTAGCCTCTGCTATGTGGTTATTGAGGTTTAAACTGGTCTCTGAGGCTGAGTCCCCTAATTGTTCATCCACATTCAAATCACTTATTACAGTGCAAAAGCACAGTCTGGGACTCGCAATAATGCCAGTCCACTTGGGTTACTGAGGTTTGACTACAAAACCGTACTCATAATACATTGCCACTTGTGTTCTTTCCCTCTTGCCGCTATCAGCATACCATTTAGTCAGAAACTAATATCCTCTTGGCTTTGTTATGGTTTGGATCTGAAGTACCCCTCTCTCCTAGTGGTCATAGCTAAAGTATTGGTTGCCAGCTTTTGGCATTACTGGGAAATAGTGAAAATTTTAGGAGGTGGAGTTTAGTGAAAGGATATGAGGTCACTGGAGAAGCGCCTTTGAAAGAGATACTGGGACCCACTCCTTCCCTCTGTCTGTCTTTTTTACTTCTTGGCCGCCGTGAGTTGAGCAGCTTCACGCTGCCATTTACTGTCTGCCATGATATTCTGCCTCACCACGAGCGCTCAGTAACAAGGCCAAGTAGCTACACACTGACGCCTCTGAAAGCACTGGGTGAAAGAAAAATTTCTTCATTTTAGGTTGATTTTCTTGTGTGTTTTGTCACAGTAAAGGATTGCTAACACAGGCACCTTGCCTGAGTGGACTTTGTTTTACAGGAACCACATTATGAAATGCTCATATTAAAGCACACACTTTAACCTCTTTGGTACTGCCAAGGTCACTGCTAACTCTTAGTACTTGCACCCCATAAATTTCCCCACAGAACACACCACACTTTGTGAATTAAGACAAAATGCATAGCCTGTAGTTTGGAGTAAAATGCTAAGTTACTGTACCAGACAAACTCATGGCAGACAGAACAAAAGGTAGGTTGTGGGAAAAATGTGGCGGTGAACTCGTGGCACTTGACGTGGTGGACTTTGGCCTGTTTGATAGCTCCTCGGCGGTGATGCAGGGCAAAGAAGCCTTCGGTCTCCAATTCACTCATGTCTTTTGTGTCTGCAGGCAGAGAAGAAGGGGCAAAGTGAGATTCTGCAGTATGATAGTCACGGTTGGGTGGGACAGTGGGAACTGGGTGAGGAAGACAAGCAGACAAGCATTCATCACCTACAGCAATAAAATTCCAGATACTTATGAAAGGGGGTAAAAGGCAAACTTCTTTCCTTAAGCCTATAATACCGAATTATCACAGGGTATATTAGAGGACTGAACTGAAATTGGATGGCTGGTTTCATCCTTCACTCTTTGGCTGAGCTGAGGTTACCCTCAGATTTTAAAACCAGAAATCAGCACTTTCAAGTCTTTATGTAACTCTAGAGAATAATGTGGTGACTGAGAGCAACTTGGGAGCAGCATTTCTGAGATGTCAGGGCACTTTGCAACAGACTCCATTTAGTCAGTGGCACAGACAGGTAGGAGCTATCCAGCCTTTTGTGTGAGGACAAAGGAACTTTGAGAAGGCAAGGCATTTATGTTCTGGGTTTTGATGGCCACAGGGATCAGATACACTGTATCAGCTTCAGTCTGTACTCATCAATGTGGGAAAGGCCAGAAAATTGATAACTGCATTTTTTACAAGCACAAGTAATCCTGTGTATTGTTTAATCATCTGAGTCAAACCATCAAATCCACATGTATTCACTGGGCTTGTGCATACTGGCATTGAGTAGTCACTGTTCACAGGGCCCAATGCCCAGATGACATTTTTCTAAAAGGCTGGGAGGGGGGCATAAGATGGTAGAATTCGGAAAACATGCATGATATTCTGAAATATGCATGAGGCTCAGGACCCCAAAGAATACAAAATGGTGGGGTAATCATGGGTAGATAGCATGATGAATACTCCAGCAGGTGAGAAAGAATAACATGATAAATAGCAAAATAGTATCCTTACTAGAATAAAGATATTAAGTATAATTATTATAATGGCTTGAATCATAATAATTTAATAGCTTGAAGATTTTTGTATCACTTGTATTTCTTTTATTTTTAATGCAAAAAATTAAAATTTAGTGAAAGTAAGAGGCTCATCATACTTGAAAAGATAGCGTTAACATTATTAGCCATTCTGGCTGCAGTGACAGAGGTCTGACAATGTATTTGAGGCAAATGTTCCTGATGAGGTACTTTGTTTTTACATTCCTAATATTGTCTGGGCTAGAAACACACTGGGCAGACAACGGAGTAGCTGTGTATGTGGAGACCTCTCCTACAGCAAGCTAGCCAAGTCTCAAGACTCATTTTAGGACTCACATCTTCTTTACAGTGGTTCACAGTTCTGTGTCAGGGCAACTCCAAACCCTTGTGCCAGTAATTGTCTAGAGTTCTACAGATGGACCATAATACTTTGCCTGTTACTTTAAGGCTAAGTAACTCAGGTTATTTTATTTGACACAAGGATGGAAAGAATTAGGCTTGCTGAATGAGGGCTTAATAATCTCTGAGTTAATAATTTTCTTTCACATGCTCCGGTACAAATGTGCAGAACTATTTACTGCTTGTATAATAGATTATGTTTTGATATGGCTTGGTCAGATGCAATGAACTGACATGAAATAAAGAATAAAAGTACTTTTAATTCAGAAAATGAAAGTGAATTAGTCTGGAACCCTAACTATACTACACATACATGTATAGTAGTCTAGGGATTGGACTACTATACATTTAACAAATATCAGAAAATTCTAGAAATGAATTTATTCCCTTCTTCCTTCCTTGTTGCTCTGTCCACTAATGATTCCAATTATTATAAGTAAATGTGTAAGAACATGGGATTTAATTCTTTTGATATCAACTGCATTATTTCTGAAGTAATTTGCTCCTCTATCAGCTTGAATAAGTTTGTTGTTGTTTTACATATAAAGGTTTGGCTATGTCTTTTAAACCAATGACTCCAAATCTTTTTATTTAGTCTTATTTATAGTCAAACACAAGACAAGTGTTCCTTGATCAGCTAAGTGTAAATGACTACACTGAGTGTCCTAACAGAATCTGAGATATTATTCCTAACCATTGAGCAGCTATGATCACAACAGGGAGATACATTGCTCACACAAAGAGCAGCTAACTGTATGAAACAGTGTACGATGGTGTGGAGTAGTCTCAGGGATATGTACATCCACAGCTTTTAGGAGGTATGAAAAAGAGTCACTAGAGAGACTAAGAGGGAGTAGTTGAAAAATTAAGGGCAAAACTTAGATATGATTACATCATATATGTAAAAAAAAAGAATGCAGCTTTCTACATTGACTGATAGAGAGCAGTCAAGGAAATTGAAAGCTAAAAACTGGGAACTTGTTTAGAAGATCCATAATCTTGGAGAAGGACATTTCAGCCAGACTGTGAGGGACTGAGATTGGGAATATAGCAAATAAAAAGAGACTAACAAATTTTTTTTTAAAGAAATGTCAGGGAGGTTGGGCACAGTGGTGCAGGTCTGCACTTCCAGCACTTGAGAGGCTGAGTCAGGAGGATTTCTGTGAGTTTGAGGCCAATGTGGATTACAAATTGAGTTCAAACCAGCGTGAACTGCATAGCAGAGGTAAAATGGTTAAAAAAGTGACATTTTCCATGATAGGGGAAGATGGCTGCTGTGTTGTGTCTTGATAATGAGGAGGAAGCCACAGAGAAGGGAAAGTTGAGGACGTTGGGAGGAAGTGATTTGAGGGAGCAGTTCTGCTGGGGTGAGAGGCTTGAGGTCAGAACAGGGAGGGACTTTCTCCAAAGCACTGGAACAAGAAGAGGATACAAGAAGCAGCCACACAGTAATGTACACTGTAATGTACAGAAGATAGAATCTCTAACAACAGACCTGCCAAAGGTCAAGCTCTAGGAGTGAGAGAAAAATAAACCCTCAGATATCAAGGAGGATAGGCATGGTTGAAATAGTCATTGTGTGAGAATCAAAGGAAATAAAGGAAGCTTCTAGATGTCAAGGAGAATTCAAATGAATGATGCAATAAACAATGATTGTATTTGTTCTTCCTCCTATCTGCAACCTGGTGCTGGAGTTAAAGGAATAGATAAGCTATCAACCAACCATTGCTGCCTTGCAAGAATTGAGCAGTTAAAAGGAAAGGTAACTAGGTGGTAATGTAACAGCAGAAATATGCCCAGGATACTATGGGATCACGAAGGTGAGGAAACAGCACCAATTAAGGTAGACAGAGGTATGAATTAGAAAAACTAGGTAAGGTACAAGTAGCAAGGGTTTCTGAGCTGAGTTCTGAAGAATAAATAATCCTACTAATGTTCAGGAGAAAGCAGGGTGGGGAAAAGCAAAAGTATTCTTTCCAGGTGGAAGAGAATGGTAAAGGGTACAGAAACAGGAGTTCTCAGGATACAAGTGGGGCACTAAAATACAGGAGTACATGAGAGAGGGGAGTGGCAGCAAATCAAATCAGTGCTCACACGTGGAGAATGTGCAGATGTGAGAGCAGTCTGAATATTTTCTTGTAGATAAACTGCAAACACTAAACAGCTGCAGCAGGGGCAGGGAGAGAGTAAAGCAGAGCATGATACAGTCAGAATGGAGGCCAATCTGTTCTTTCTGGTCAGCAATGTAAGGCAAATGAATGAGACACGGTAAGCAAGGATGCAAAAAAGGTAAAATTGAAAAATGTTCATCACAGGGAGAGAAATTATTAACTAATATAGGAGGTAAAAAAAGAAAAGTATAAAAATTACTTTCAGGTTTTATGGAAGATAGAGTAATTGACTAAAATAGTGGGTACAAAGGGAAGAATTACTGTGGAAAATGGTTGAGTATACTTTTAACATGATTTGGTTGGCCTTCAAATCATGTAATTTAAACTCAACATAATTTAAAGGACTTACAGGGAATCTAGTTGAAGAGGTCAAGTATATGAGTCTGAAATATTGGAACATCACCTAACAGCATGTGTTTGTAGCAGACTCAGTTGAGTGGTGTTTCCTAGCAAATCCGTAGAAAATAAGAATGGAGAATGCAATGCTTGGAGATCAAAATGTGTCTGGTAGAAGAGAAAATTGATGAGAGTGTGGTATTGTCAAGAACATTTCATGGGGACTAAGGTAGATGAGGAATTAATGCCAGAAGTGGGATAATAGAGGATGAAAGAGAAAAGTCTAGGACTTATTGAGAGGAAGGACAGAATTGACCGGGGAGACAAATGAGCTCTGAGAACAAGGTCGGAGTCTGAGTTCATAAAGTTGGAGAATTTTGAGTGAAGACATGGGTGAGATTCCTATCAGACTGGATAACAAGTAGGAACATGTGAGAGATGTATCAAATGATGATGGTGCATTTTTAAGCCACAGAAGTGAAAAGAAGAGGAAAAGTGATGCAAGCACAGAAATGAACAAATGGAAATGTTCACAGAGCAAGACTCCAGTGATCTGTGAATGGAGAGCCATTTGCTTCATTAAGGGATAGACAAGAGTACAGGCTTCTGTTGAAGAATGATTCAGGAGTCATGCTATTACCTTAAATGTTACCTAAGCTAAAATTTCTGATTGTCCACCCCATTGTCTTCTCTTTTTGTATCCCATCATTTTCACGAGGCAGCTATTTTAAGAGATATCCTCAACACTTTCCCCTGCATGCCTCTTTTATTTAAAAATAATCATAAAGCACCTCCACTGTATATTTATAAGCATTCTCTTTCATCTAGACTACCATGAAATCTTGCTTTCTTTTCTTTCAGATTTTTCTTTTTATTTTACTCTTGTTACCACACTCTTAAACTAGATTCTCATCATTCCTCTGCACCATAAAGGAGATTCTATAGGTAAATAATGTTTAACTCTACAAGTAAGAGAGAGTGTGCTTTCCCTTTTGTTCAAAACACGATGAAAGCTACAGATTCTTCTTGTCTGGTTTCTATGCCTACCAGCATTGTATATGACTCTTGTGATTTTAGCAGGGCCACGTGGCCTACTTGGTGTCTTCACACTACCCATGTCATGTTTTCCTCATGCCTTCATTTTAACTGAGACAAGACAGAACTCTTAATTCTTCCTCTTTTTCAAAGAACATACTATGGAATGTCATGGAATGAAGGCAATCCATATTTATCTCTTGGTTATTCAGCACTTATGTAGTGCAGGATATAACTATTTTCTAGCTGTTTTATACACATCACTTTTTAAGGCTGAGTCCTCTAAATGTGTGAACTCATATTTTGCTTTTCTGAATCCTTTAGGAAACTATTTCTTGTATATAATTACAAACATTCTTAAAATTTAATAACATCCTGTACTTTCTTCTTATCATCAGCAGGGAATTTTCTAGTTAGGTCATTTCACGATAAAGGTTATTAAAATTAGATTTTTTTTGGATATATGAAAATTTAGAGATAAATCTCAATCTGGGTATAGTTTACAAAATTTAATACTATAAGTTTTTAAATATTCCTGGGTTTATGTAATTATTATTCATGAAATAGTACTGCTTTTAAAAAAAAGAAATAGTGCTGCTTTTACCTCATTTGAATTTACTTTCTTATTTTAATAGAACATTTAAATTCCCTGGTAACTGGAGAAATACCTATGCATTTTTTTTCAAAAGCAGAGATTTTTTTCATTATTTACCAAGATTACTTTCTGTCCAGTGGAATTTTTCTCCAATTTTCATTGGACCATTTGTTGAACTAATAGGAGACCATATTTTTAAAAATCTTGTTGTACTCATTCAAGAAATTAAACATCATTACTAGTATAACTTAGGTCAGTATTTTTACTGATTATTCAGATACCACTCACTCCTTGTATCTCATTTAGTCAGCTAACAAATAGTAAATTATATGTACTATATATTTAGAGACTAGGGAGACATTTAGAAAAATTCAGAGTATATTTTTCCTCCTCAGGACTTTAAAATTTCTTTTAAAAAACTTTAGTATGGAAAAACTTAAGTATATACAAAAACTATGCAAGTGTTGTAATCAGTTTCCAAATATCAATTATTCATCTTTGAAGATGATCAATTTATGGCCACTGCCTTCCAGTGACTGTCTACCTCCATACCTGTGCCAGTGGGTCGTTCTGAAACAAATCCACGTGGTCATTTTATTTTATTGACAACTACCTCAGCTTATATGTATAAGAATTAAATTTCTTTTTAAATAATCATATCATCATTATCACATCTAGGAAATTAATAACCATGTCTCATATCAGCAAATATCTGGTGTGTATTCAAGTTCCCCTGATTGCCATATAAAAGTGTCTTCTCCAATGTATGTATCATCTGGACATAAAAGAAATTATATATGCTAAGCAAAAGCACTGTAAATCTCTAACTAAAACTCAGTTGTCATGTATATTAAGCATTCCTAATCCAAAAATCTGAATATAGAATACTTCACAATCTGCAACTTTTTGAGAATACAGTGAGAAATATCATGTATGAAACTTTGTCATGTACAAAATTATTAAAAAATTGTTTGAAATTACCTTAAGGCTATATGCATAAGCCATATAGGGGGGAAAAAAAAGAATTACGTGTTTTGACTTCAGTCCCATTTCCAAGATCTCTCCTAATGGATATGCAAATATCCCCAAATTCAAAATAGTCCACAATCTGAAACCTTTCTGGTCTCAAACATTTTGAATAAGCGACACTCAACCTGTAACAAAACTAATTTAGGAAAAAATAAAATCAGTTTACATTAGTAGGTTTACATCTTCATTCTGAGGTTTAAGATTTTACTAGTAGTAACATTTGACTCATTTAAATAACACTAACAGGCAGACACAGACCTCCAGTGTATAGTGTTTACAAATTTAACTTCTGTGACCAAAGTGTGTGTGTTGCATGGAACTGAAACTCTTTAGCAATGCATTTTTTTTTGCTGTTCCTTGTTCCTAAAAAAAAAAAAAAATGTGAAGTGACTAATTTTAAGCCTTAGCTTTTACTACTAGCTCTATGGAAAACATTATCAGTTTCTTATTTTATATTCTGCTGATAGTGTGATAGCTTGTATAGAACACTATTATGTACAAACAATGTGACATACACAGAAACACATAAACAGAGCCTTGTGTATTTACATTAAACCCCCACACTAAAATAGAAAGACTATAGAAGTGCCAGGCATATGAGTTCACATAATTTATGTTTATATTTATATATTTATATTTTCTCTGTTTACCTGGCCCACATATTTATTTTCCTCTCATACCTAAGCACCACTGAGAATTTTAATAAAATATGCCTTTTCTCTATTCTTTTCTATGATCATTGTTAAAATAAAACAAATGATACCAGAAGAGAAGGCCATGCCCTCCTAACCCCCAAACCAGAAGAAGAAATGTCACTTGCCACTCATTTCCAGAAAGTATCTTGCATTCATTAGCATTCGGCCTTGAGGTTTCAGCTCTAACTGGTTGAGAGAAGGAGAGAAATGTCAGAATGTGAAGCCAGCCCCGGGCTCAATGACATCACAACTGGCTACTGGGGTGCAGCAGGAGATTTCTAATATAGAAACAATCATCATTCTTTTCACTTTACTCATGCTCATTATTATCAGAATAGTGCCACATTTGGGATGGCAGCCTTTCTTTTATTATGATACCTTGGCAATTCATTAATTTTACTTAGAGATCAAAATTTATACAAAGAAACAAAACTATAAATAGGTTCTATTTAGTTTTCTTGCTGTGTGATGCTGATGCTCTGAAGAACTATAAAAGATATACCTGGATGTTAATCATGCCCAAAGCATCCCAGGAACCAGGACTAGCCCCCCTGAGAAAAGCAGGACTTTCAGATGAAAAATAAATCCTGTGGGGGTACCTTCACACCCTCCTCCCTCCCTTCTCCTCGTAGAGCACATGTAGGTAAACAGGAGTATTTAATAGGAGTAGTTTTTATTTTTTCACAAGGAGAAATTATTTCCTTGAAAAAATGCTGGATGGTCTGCTAAAAGAAACTGTGAACAGTTTGGTCTGAGAAGAGATTACATATATACGTATATTACAATGTATATTTGAGCATTATGTAGAAGGGACAAAGTGCCATTTTAAGAGACAATGCAGGACTCATACAATGTGACAACAAACAAAGAAAAGAAGAAATCCAAGACAACCTGAATACCTTCTAATTTATGAAACCATCACACTGTACCATGATAGACTAAAATGAATAAAAAAGATGGTGGTTGTACTGATAATCACATCTGTAAGCTAACTAGAATAAGTGAGAAATAATACAAATGAACCTGATGAACCCAGGGTTGAATCTGAACTATAAGTAATTTTCTGGCTCTATGATCCTGTGTGAGTCACTAAGCCTTGAAGATCTTTGTTTGGAAGAATCAAATTATAGCAGTACTGATGTCTACAGCATCACTACTATTCATGATAAAAGGGCTCGCACTGCTTAGCCAACTATAAATTCTCATGAAAGCTTAAACAGATGAAAGAGAAATGCTCTTGATATCACGTATAGTCACTATTTGTTCTACAATTTTCAGTAAGTAGTAAAGCTGGAAATAAAAATGAACAAGAGCCAGGAATTAGGGGCCTATTCCCAAAGTGGTGAAAATCAATACCAGATGAACACACTGTTATCAATATTCAGGAAATTGTGGTGATGGAAGAAATTAAACCAGGCAGGCCCTGGAAAAACAGTTCCCTCCAGAAGTGACGTTTTATGATGTTTTGAGAGTGAATGGGAATTAACCATGCCAACAGATGGAACTCTGGGAAAGAAGAAAGCAAGTCTCCCTGCGGTGTTTGGAAGCAGGATAGTGTCTATGAAGATGCAGGACAAATTTGAGGGAAAAAAAGTTTCTTAGAGGAGTTAATGTTAAGAAAACAGCTTTCAAGGGACTGAGGATATAGCATAGTGGTAGAACATTTGCCCAGCGTAACAAGGCCCTGGGCGTTATCTCCAATGCTAGAAAACAAATCACCTGGAAAAGTAGACATCAGTAGAAGCAAGGAAAAGTACATATTCAAAATAGCTTGTTGATTCTTAAAAGTAAATCAAGAATAACTGTGAAAAAAGTCTGAAGCTTAAAAATGGGAGAAGTTTGCTAGCTGGTTAGGGAAGAGCTGTGCTTACCATGGCACTTTGTTGTGGTCCCTTCTACATATCACCCTACACTGAAAAAAGAGAAGAAAAAAACAGGATGTCTGATAGGAAAATCAGCAAAAACATAAGAATGAAATCAAATGCAACTTTTAAGAGATAGAAACAGAAAAGCAAGCTGTATATCAGTGAAGTCTAACAGAAGGATAAAAAAAGACACTTGCTGTCCTCTCATTGAGAAGGAAACACAAATAGAATCTTATTTTAAGCATTCAAGGGTGGAAAACTCTTTTAACCAAAAGTAAGACAGAAAGTAAAAAAATAAATGGGGATGAGGGTGTTCATACTGGGGGAGACTTGCTGTTACTTGTCTGTTTTTTCTTCTCCCCAGGCTAACGGTTCTATAATCTGGGCTCATCTGGGACCCCATCTCTCTCTACCTTCTCTGTGTAAACCCCTTGGCACTGAGTTCAACATCTGGTGTTGTCTGGTTCTTTAACCATTTCCTACTTTCCTAAGAAGTTACCCAGCTGGAGCTTTGGGCCCAAGATCTCTCTCTTCATGCTGCATAGAAATGTTCAATGAACACTGCTATATTACCCAGCATAGCTAAATGTGGGGGCCTTTTAAAAATAAATCTTGACACGTGTTTGTCTTTTAAGACTGCTTTAGTGATATAAGGAAAGATTCATGTACTTTCCTAAAAAGTGATTTTTCATAGGTCAAAATATAAAACTAATACAGAAGTATAGATTTTAAGCTTATATCATTCCCATGTGAAATCTGTGACTTGGGAATATTTTGAGTGAGTTCCTAAAATCTGTATTACAGATATCAACAAACAGAAAGGCAAAATTCACTTCTTTGACATAAATGATACAAAAGTTTGAAAATGTGTTCTGGGTTTCTGACAATGTAAGAGAGGTTTTTACAGATATATTGTTTTATTTTGTGTCCTAGACATGTTTATTAGAATTTCTTATGCTTTCATATTTTATTTTTCTCTTCAGTAATTTGCTACCCAAACAGTTTAAAATAAATTTTCCAAAACTTGGTGTGCTAACATGAATTGTAAATGATATACTTTTTATCATAATGTGAGCTAAATCAATTAATTCTGCCTGGGAAAAAGTTTATAGTAATTGGTAAAGTATGAAGAGAGAAGACCAAACACAAAACAGGTCTTTATTCTGTCTTATAGCATTCAAATCTTCACAGACAGTAGTTAGGTTCCTCAATTAAGGGAATTCTGTGATATTTCAAAGCTTACCTCAATACTTATAAATTAATAGCAATTTTTATAGCTTAAGAGACCTTCACACTTCATAGGCAAATATGCCAATTCTGATTTGCATATGTCAGTACACTTTGTAGTCCATAATGAATAATTGCCACTGTTACTAGATCAGCAATGAGTCAGTTGTAGGGAATCTGTTGACCCAAAGCCACTGTAGTCATACCCTTAGGGCGACAGGGAAATTCTGAGTGAGTCATCAACTATCATCAAGGTGTACACACTTCAAACAAAGTTCCCAGCTCTGACATTTACCCATATTTCTGTCCTCCCATTGTTCTTTCTGCATCTCTCAGCCAGCGAGTAGAGCTCCACAGTGGTTTCAGAGATGAGATCCACATTTTTGCCCTTCACGATGATTTGCATCACTCTCCCCTTGTTGATGTGGGCGTCAAAGGTGCTGTCCCAGGGTGGGTACATGGTTGGTTTTTTCTGGATATACATCTGCCCATTTTCTAGGAGCAGAAACATATGTTCTCATTATTCCTCCTTCCTGCTCTGGAGAATAACAAAGTAACACGAAACTGAGACAGCCATGGGCAAAATGCAGGTAATACACTGAATCTTAAATGCGCAGTTCAGCTAATTTGAGGATTAACCATATGCTACTTTCTTGGATTGGAAATATTCTTTCATATTCAACAGTTTCTTGTTTCACTTTGGGAGTGAACATCTGGGCAAACTAACAAAAAATCTCTTATTGCTTTTGAGATCCTCCTTTGTTAACCTATAACAGCTTGGTCACGATTGATTAATTTTATTGGAATTTGGTTAAAAAAATAGTTACAAAACTACTGTGTTCAACTGAAAAACACTGTGGCATATTTAGAGTATTCCTTTAAAAGAATATTTAAGTTTCTACTTGACATTAGTATACCTAGAGACAACAGTTTCTAAACTACAATGAGCGATTATCTCTCTAATTCTGAAGGAAGGTGCATTTTATATGCACTGTAAGCAGGAGCTGACAAGTAGGTTAGAGAGCAGTGACCTTCACCTTGTGGTCAGTGTCACAGATTGTAGACTTGAACATGGGTCATGGGGACAGGTTGGATAGGGATGTAGGAATGGGAGCCATGGGCAGGGCAGTCCCGTTAGAAGCCACCAGGTGACTGGGAAAGAGCTTACCAATGGGATAGTTTTGTGCTGTCTTTCAGCCACACTGGATTTTCTCAGCATTTATTTCTTAATCATCTTGGAATTAGAAAAGTGCTTCTGCAATTGTTTGCTGCTTGTGCTAATGAACACATTAAGTGGCAGTCTTAGCAATTCACAGACATTGATATGGCAAAAAGGAAGAAAAGCCGGGGACACACAGCAGCTCCAGCTCCCCTGGGGCCCTTCTCTACAAGGCATAAAGTTAAACAGAACAGGTGTTTGGCATTTGTTAAATTAATATTTATTTTGAGGGGATACAACTAGTTGAACAAAATTGAAACTTCAAATTTCAGGTAAATCTGCTTGTGTAAGTGTAAGTTGTGGTACTGTTAAGGCTGAAATAAGAAGGGGAAGATTTTTTTATGACTTGGTAAAAAAAATTTATGGACTGGGCTTTTTAGAAACTAACTATAATGTTGGAGGCTGGGGATTTAGCTCAGTGGCATAAGCGCCTGCCTTGCAAGCAGGCAGTCGTGAGTTCGATCCCTGGTACCGATAAAAACGAAGAAGACAAAAAAAAAAAAAAAAAAAAAAAAAAAAAAAAAAAAAAAAAAAGAAAAAAGAAACTATAATAGCATTTTATTCCCACAGACCCAGAGCTTCCCTATCAAATATTTCTCTCCAATCGTAACCATTATCTATGCCAGAAGAAAGGACAAAAACCCCCCAGACAAGCATGTTTTGCATTTCCATCCATTAGGTTAGTAATTACCTAAAAAGTGGCTCAGGACTCAGGGTTCTGTTTGCATAGAGTGTTACTCTTTTCAAAAGGCCACAGCACCCGTGGTCTGTTTGTCTCTATTCTGTCAACTCGTAGCAAAAAGTGTGGCTCATTTCCCAAATATTGAAGAATGTTTAAATTCTACAGAATGACAGTGTTCCAAGCAATTTCGTTTTAGAACGCGACCGAAACAAAAGTTAAAAACAAATACAAGAAAATCTCTAAATTCCAGAGGCTTAATCTTTTGGAAAAAGTTTCCTTTTTTTCTGACAATGTCCCTTGATCCACATGGCTGATTAGGCCAAGTTCAAAGGCAAGGCCAAAAGAAGATGAAGAAAGGGAGAAAAAAAGGCTCTCGGGAGGCAAATGTCAGTGAGACCTGAGGTTGTAAAGAGAAGGGGATCTAGGAGCCCCATTAAGCCAAAGGCAGCTTTGAAAAACTCAAACATTTCACACTTCAAAGATGTCCCTGACATTTGAAAGGGTTTAGGGTGAAGCAAGTGGCATTCTCACTTTTTAACTAAACAGCACAGAACTCTGGACAGAAGGAGAATCAAGATGATTCAATCTCCTTGGCTTTGATGTGCTCAGAGTGGACCAGAAGGATAGAGTCAGCCATGGAGAGGAATGGCTTTCACTGGATCAGGCAGGATCCAGCAGAGTAGGATTTAGAACCCTAGAATTCTACATATCCAGCTCAAGATTCAAAACAGCAGGCTCAGTTTTTTCTTGGAGCTGCCAATGCCCAATCTCCACAGAGGTCATTTTAGGATCAGCCTAGAAAGTATAACAGACTTCTCAGTTATATTGAGATATTGTCCCCAATATCTCTCTCCCTTGTACCTTACTTTATTTTCTTCTTAGTGTATCATTACTTTCTGTATTATATTTTGGGTTTTTTGTCTCTCTCCCTCTGGGAGAATAGAAGCTCTAAAGGGAAGGCAGTTTTTCTGAGTTGTTGGGTTTATTTGTTTGTTTTCCTCTCTGGTCTTACCCCAGGGCCCTCAGAGCAGGCTTTCCATGAACACATTTTTGGTAACTGAACTTTGATGGGTTTTCTGGTTACTGCAAATCTGCATTAATGTGCATCAGACTTAGCTATAGTGCATCTGTTCATAAGGAAATAGGAAAAACTAACGGGGCTGGGAAGCTCTTGGGATGTAAAGTTCCTTGTATTCTTCCTTGGGAAGTCCATAAGAATTTTAAAATGCAGAGGCTGGGATCAAGAGAGTGGGAGCCAGTTAAAGTGATCTCCTAAAGAGTCTCTTCGCAATAGGAGTGTTTTAACAGAATGTTCTAAACCCACACAAAGAATCCTGGGTGCTGACACACTTTCTGCCTCAGTATGAACTGCCTCTGAAATGCACAGATGACAAAACATGATTATTCCTTCATTTGGGCAGACATTAGTAAGTGAAAATTACTAAAATTTGGATTCTAATTATTAATTGTAGTTTCTCCGCAATCATCTATGCTTAATCAGGGAAGCAGCAAGCAATGTTTAGAGATGATTTCAAGACCATCCCAAATCAGGATGTACACCATGTGTGTGTGTGTGTGTGTGTGTGTGTGTGTGTGTGCGTGTGCGTGCGTGCGTGCGTGTGTGTGTGTGTGTGTGTGTGTGTGTGTGTGTGTGTTATACAGGACTGAACCTAGTCCAGACTGAACCCAGAACCTAACCGAGACATATCACTAACTTTATATTTTTAAAATCTTGAGACAGGGTCTCACTAAATTGCTAATTGCCCAGGCGGGATTGGACTATAACTTTGACTCTCATGTCTCAGTCTCTCAGAGTGCTAGCAGTCTAGGAATGCACTCCTACAAGTAGCTTAGGCCGTCTTAATCTATCTATAATAACCTACATCCATTAGGTTATACATATAAGTTATGCATATTCTTTGCATATAGAATATATAGAATATAGGATATATGTATTATTTTAGCTCACTAGGTGTCTTTTTTATTTTCTCTTTTATTTTAAAAAAGCAAAACAAAAAAGTATAGAATACAGAATTTAAAAAAATAATAGGAAATTAATGCTAATTAATATATTGCATATTGTTATCTTAGAAGTAGTTGTTCAGGTTACCAAGATTTAGGCACCAAAAAAAAAAAAAATCTAATCAAACAATGAAAGCACAAACTGTTCTTTTGGATGAACCAACAGACATTAGTAGTGTAGCTATCTTGTATATATTTACATACATATAGGTTTCTTTCCCATTATCTCTTCATGTAATCCCCCTCCCCCAACCTTCCCCTTATCCCTGCTTATAGAGAGAAAATGGTACAATGAGGCACAAAGGTTCTGGCTTAAAGTGTCCCTCACATACTTGGCTTGACTGGATAAGCTGTCTCCTGAGCTGGAAATTGCAGTTGAACCAGATGACCTCGAAAGTTCTGGGAAGTTTCGCTTGAGTCTCCTCCCTCTCCCCCACCACACTTACCTGATTCAACGTACTCTTTGACAAGCACAGCGCAGTAAGGGTTCACAGCCTCGCCCTGACAAGACTGGCAGGACCCGCAGTCAAAGTTGGACAAACCAATCCGAAGAAATGGTGACATGGTTGCTCCCTGGAAAACAACAAAAAGTAAATGTGGTTTGGGGGTTATAAAATGTATTATTTTTGGTGTTCCATGTCCACTGAACCAGTATCACTAACAGCCACTGCCTCAACTGGGCCAACTATCCATCTGAACAAATGCTTTTATTTCCTCTTTTGCAAAGTATTTTGTAGGACTCACCCAAACCACAGACTGGCCCTGAGATGTGGCTTTCTAGAACTCTGCTCCAACCCTGTAGTGAGAACTAAAGAGTTAATTCCACTCCACCTAATGGAGTTATCTTTAATAGCTGCAGAATGAGGCAGTTTTCCAGCATTTTATTTCTTCTCTTGTTCAGCTGGTGCCCAAGAAACAACATACAGTAATGAGAAAATGAGTTTATAAAGAGCGGGTCTATTTTAGTCACACTAGTTAAATATGACACCACAAAATTCTTACATGGTCTATTTATGTGTGTAATGGAATTGGCTCTAGGCATTTAGCAGCTGATCCTTGTTTACTTTGGATATTTCAAAAAGGTCTGCTCTCTTTAGTCACACAGGCACACATACACGGACCTCTCATCCCACGCAAAAAACCTTTGGACATTATAAACCACCAAACTGTACTCTAAACCATTGACTCCACTGTAATGTAGTACCTTGCTGTTTAAGGATAAACTAAATACAACATGATCGCCAAAAGCCACCCACTAGTAATTATATTTTCCTAAAACATAGTGTAACATTTGCTCTTGATTTCAGGAATCTGGTCTGATTCTTCACCTACTATGCTATATTCTTTGTTACAGGATTTACCTTGACTAAACACCATTTTTTCTTTCTGCTTCACAAGATCTTACTTTCTGAAACTGTCAGATGGTATTGAGTGAAAATGTAATTTCCTGGCTTCCTCTCTTTTCTTGAATCATTCTCTTTTCGTGAATTTTCCCAAACTTTCTGAAGTAAACCAAAGCTAACACCAACAGAGTCTTGGTTGTCCCCTTTGCTTTTGTGTGGAGGTTGAAAAACTATTTGGAGTAATAGGAATTCAGAACTGAGAATCAGTAATGTAACTGGAAATCTTGGGCCTCTAATAGTTAATCTAGAAAAAGTATAAGAAATCTCCAATACTCTCAAATTAAATAAGAAAAAGAAAGAAGAAAGAAAGAAAGAAAAAAGGAAAGAAAGACAAAGGAAGAAAAAAAAAAGGAAGGAAAGAAAGAAGAATCTCCAATACTCTTAAATGCTGATTATCCTGGATAAATTTTGAGCCTACAAAGAGGCAAATTAGGTGCTTTTAAAAAACAGTTAATTTCCCAGATATTAATAAAACCTTAATTTCCTACGGGTTTGGGAGGTTGGTCTAAAGGGAGTGGTTGTGTAAACATGAGCAGTCTGGCCTTCATCTTTGCAGCATTTTCCGTATAGATCACACTGTTGAATTGCAACCAGATGATTTCTGGTCTTATCTTATAGGACCCCTCTATTTTTGAGTTTAGGATTCTTGGGCAGGAGTCAGAATACCTACTAAAAATCCTCTAAGAGGACTTCTGTGAGAGCATCTTCTTCCCTGGCCCATGGGGATATTTTAGGCCCGTCTCTATTTCTTCACTAATTAGGAAACATCCCTCATTCACAGGAATGTAACCACGTATGGACTTCCGAAGATCTCTGAAGAAAAATATTTACTTCTGATTTGAATGTGGAAGAATTGCTGACTCAAGGAGGCTGAGTTACAACCACTCTGACCTTTGGAGACTTGTCTGCTATTTCCAGATTGAGTTCCTAATTGGTTGGGTTCCTAATCAGGCAGCTTCTGCCCAGCAAGGATCTATCTCAGGAATAGAGATGGTCACGTACCAGGGTGTCTATTACAGGGTGTAAGGGAGCTGAGGAAGAATGCTTTCCCTTCTTGAAGGTCTTGCTTAGGTATCAGTAATTTCTCATTTAACAAGCAATGCAGATTCAATTGAATTCCATTCAGTTCATTTGCACAATTCTTTTCTCCATAAGCATTTCAAAAATTTACTCAATGCATGTATCTCTTTGATAGTTAAGTCAGTGCCTCTCTTTTCTTAAAATTATTTTTATTAGTACATATTTGTAGCACATAATGTTTATATTCTTTGTGAGAAATTAATACAAGATCTGGTCTTGGCGACATGATCTGATATATATTTTGACATCTACAAGACAGAAGTGGCATTTGTGTGGATATATATCAAGAGCCAAGAAGAGTATAGTCATCCTATGAGGATGGACTTAACATAGAACATCTTATAGGCTGCCATATTGGGTCCAGAGCTGATGACAGGAGCGGGGATTTCCCTGGGTGTAAAAATAGAAAGGAGTGTTCCTTGTGTACAAATCTATGAGAGCTGAAACAGCCTGCCTCAGGATGGAACTTGTGAACTGTGCTCTGTAGACTGTAAATTTCCATCAATGGTCTCTTTTTTCTCCAGTCATGTAGGCTTGCACTTCCCAGAAGCATGTGCATAAGATGACTGATTCTCCAGGCTGCTTCTAATAGGGCTCGGCCATGTTCCTCTATATACATCTCAGCTGAGCAATAAAATCATACTGTCAGCTCTCATCTGTCATCTCCATATGTGTCCACCACATACCCACTTGGTCCCATAAGCTACTCACCAGCATCCGTTTCAACTCGGCCCCTTGTTTTACTTTGCCAGCAGTGACCTGTGTCATCACTCAACCTAGCCTTCTGTTTCCATGGCACCTTCCCCTCCCACCTCACTGTCCACTGGCTTTATCTGCTGCCCCACCTTCTCCTCAGCTTCCTTCATTTTCACCTCAGTTTGGTTGTGCACTGCCTCTTGTATGGTGCACTATGCAGTTTTCCTTGCATCTCTGTCAATTTCTGGTCACTTCTCCTTCCACAGCATCACCATTCTTCACACTGAATGATGTTTTTAGGATCTTGCTGAGTTCCCATGGTTTTTCAGAGTTCATAGCCCTAGAGTTTTAGTAAAATACACCCCTCCCTGGAACATCTTATTTCACCCCATCCTTTGTTTTCCTCAACCTGAAAGTTCCTGCTCAGTGTCTCTCTGCTTTGAAGTCTTTCTTCCTCGTCTTCCAGCACCTTCCTGTTGACACATCTTGGTGGGATTTTCTTTGCCTTCCAGACTCCCATGGCTCCTGGCTATGATGCTGTACAGAACCTGCTACATGTGTGTGCCTTGATGCTGCCAGTTCTGAAGTCTGCAGTAGGACATATCCTGCAACTCTTTCCCTGAGCTTGTGTCTCCAGCTCTCAGCCATCGCATGTGGGGCTTAGCAAAACTCCAAGATGTCTCCTATTTACCTTTGAGAAGCCTCATATCCTCAGAAGAGGGGCTCGACTCCAACTTCAGGAGCTCTCTAGCTCCGTCTGTAACATACTTGGTAGAAACCCCCTCTCCGGTGTGCTCACAATGTGTTACCTCCCTCTTTCCTAGGGAAGATAATGGATTTCTTCCACTAGCACATCTCTTGGGGCATTCAGTCAGCTTGTGGGATGGGGGAAAAGCACAAAGTGCCTGTGCTTACACTGTCATGTTTTCCTAGAATGCCTTATTAGATTTATGGGTTTATATCTGCCTGCCTTAGCAAGTCTGTGGATTCTGAGTACAGGGACCATGACTTAATCACCTGTTTGCTCCTTGAGTCAGTTCTCTGTTTGAAGGTCTGAAATGCTCAATGTATTTTTGCTGCAGGAATTAATTTTCCAAAGCAACATTTTACATAATCTCTTAATCTCATGTATTTGTTGTACCTGCAAAGATATACAGTAGTCAAATTAAGCAAGAGATCAAGAAAAGAGACACTATGGTAGCTACTGTTATGTCGGATTGTCTTGTGGTGAAGTGCTATGCTGCTTAAATTGTTCTGTTCTGACCTGTTTTGTTATGTCCTCTTTTATCTTAATTTTTTAAATAAAGTAAAAAAAAAATTAAGCAAGAGACAGTTGTGGAAGAAGTCAACAGCAAAGGAAACATCCCAGCACTTGTTATATTAAGAAGATCAATGCTCTTATGAACTTAGCTTCTGGAGTTATTTAATCTCTTTAAACCTGTTTTCTCATTTGGAAAGCACTGTTGTTATTACTACTGGTCTCAAGGGCTATGTGAATTAGATGGGCAAATACACATAAGATGCTTAGAGTGGGCCACAGCAAACTCAATAAATGTTAGCTATTAGTGTTATAGCCTTGATATATTTCTAATGGGCTTTCTAAATTTTGATGATATGTACCAAATAGGGCAGGAGAAGAGCAGAAAGAGACTTTTAAGGGTATATCTGGATGAATTATATTAACTTGCTCTGTGCTCTGCTAGAAAATTGCTGTAAAACTCTACATATATCTCTCATACAGCGCTTACTACCCTCAAGTACAGTCATCTCACTGCTGACACTTAGTCTGACGGATATAAGGTATATCTATCAAGTCTTCCATGCTTTTGCTATCCCAGGTGCAAAATTCTGCGAAGAATCTTTACTCTTATGAACTTAATAGTTTTACCTTTAAATGTGACCTCATTTGGTTTTGGTACATGGCTTTGAGACAGGTACCTGATCAAGTATAACTGCTCAGCGGTGTCCTTTGGGTCAGTGATTAAGTCAACTGAGAATTCTGGTCTCCTGACTCATTGGACATCAACTCACTTATTTACCTAGGCTGACACAGACTGTGCAAGTCAAATTCCCCAGATTCTTTTATGGCTGTGTTAAGGTTGGGTGTTCATATATCCAAACTCTACAAGGACAAGTTTCCTAGAACTAGAAAACAATACATGTTCTATATACTCTCATTAACTGAAAAAAAAATCAAGAATTTTTTCTTTTGTAGCAACTGAAATAAGAATTACCATATTTCTTTATCTTATTTTATTGTCTTGGTACTGGGGATTGAACTCAGACCTTATATTTGTTTTTATTTTGAGATAGGGTTTCATTAAGTCTGCTAAGTTCCACAGGCTGGGTTCAGATTTATGATCCCTCTGTTCAGCCTTCCAGAGTGCTGGGATGATAGGCATATTCCACCGTGCCTGATAAAATATTGGACAGCATTTTCTTTCTTCTTCTTCTTTTTTTTTTTTTTTTTTTTTTTGAGATAAAGTCTTGCTATGTAGTTCAGATTGGCTTTGAGCTCACTATGTAGCCTAAGCTGACCCCAAACTCACGTGATCCTCCTGCCTCAGCCTCCCAAATATTGGGATTATAAGTGTGCACAACCATGCCTGGCTTCGGCAGCATTTTCATTGCTGTAACTCACTTGGAGATGTCTCAGTAACAGGGGAGGGTGTCATAGTAAAATAACTACTTGCATCAAAATCTCTAACACTTAGAAGGAATATAGAATAATAAGTAGTAAACTTGGAAATGAGAAAAACATTCATTGGTTTACAGTTGCATGTGCTTAGCTAAACTGGAGAAACACTGGCTTAGGAAACCTTGGCAAATTACACTACACCTATAGATTTTACATTTATTTTCTTGCGAGACATCTTAGGGAAAAGTGATTGCTTTAAAAAGTGACGTACTGCTACTGAAAGTAACATATAGTAAAAAATAATTTTTCTTGCAAAGTATACAGAAGATGCTACGAGTGAAAAATAACATAATTGAGTAGTAGTTTACTCTGTTTCTGACCTCTGTAAAAGTAATATATTAAAAAGAGTCAAGTTAAATATTAGCCTCTTGCCCACAGACACAGGTTCAAATTCTATATTTATGTCTTTTTTTGTTTCATTTTAAAAATAAAATTTAAAAAATGTGAACTGAAACAATACATATAAACTTAAGAAATATTTTACGATAACCTTGCAATACATATGACAAAAGGAACACAAGCCAAACCATCAGTCATCTGTTGGAATGAGGGGGATTTGTGGATGGAGATAGCACTTTCTTGCTACCTGCAAATGTTAGCAAGATCCTCTCCCCCAAAACTATGGTCACTGTAAACAAAGTCACCTCACAACAACAGTGCCAAACAAATCTAAATACAGACAATAAAGCACATGAAATGACACTATTAATATTCTGATACTAACTTTACTGCATTACATGAAAGCAGAGGTCGGATTAAATTACTCATCCCCAAGAAAACTGTTCTACTCTTTGTGGTGTTAAGCCATAAATCTTAACCTTTCACTTACAAGCCTTCATATATTGGTTTCATCTTGCCCTTCCCACACACAGGACTCTGAAGGAATCCTAGCCTATCAGGACTTCTCTGCTGAGTATACCCTGGGGTACCTTTGTCGCTCTGATTATGGCCTTTCTTTTTCCCCCAATTCCCTGTCCATCTCCACCCATCCACAATTTACCATCTTCCAAATGTCTCATCCATCACGGACCTGTTATGTATTGGCTTATTCAGAATTCCTTTCCTTCTCCTTCTGCTCAGCGGAAACTAATCTCTCCCCCAATTTTTTTCCATGATAAAAACAAGAAATCTACTGTTGGTTTCTTTCATATAAGACTTCTTATATAGTGGTATCTTGGCCCACAAACTTCATTCTTTCCATGATTCTGGCTACAGAATTTATTTCATGAATCTGGTTGCAACCGAACTGCGTGCATACTATGGAACAAATTCTATGACCGAAATCATGGAAAGAATTGAGTTCGTGAACAGAGGTACCACTGTATCTAGTCAAGCAGGATGTTTGAACTTCCGTTTCTATTTTGGAATGGCTGTGTTTTACTCATCTTTGCTCCTGTTTGTCTTTTGTAATATAACAGGTGACCTCAAAAATTAAATGCCAATCATATACTTGTTCTGTGTCTATAATTTGAGCCATGTTGAGTTGGATGGGTCATCTCTAGTTCACAAGCTGTCAACTGGGGTCACACAGGGCCATCTTGGCCAGTGAAGCCTCTCTGCATAGGATCTGTATCCTCTAGGAAGTATCCCCTGATGGTGTGCATGGAAGCTCCACTCTGAAAGTTAAGAGGGATTTCAAGGCCTTTTGAGGGCCAGACATGGGATAGTCAACACACTTCTCCTGAATTCAGTTGTTCAGAGAAGATTTTAAGACCAGCTCTGCCACAAGTGGTAGGGAATAAACTCTACTGACCAGAAGACATGTAGGAATTTGTGACTCATTTTTAACATTTTACCCTGCCTATCTTCTAAAGAGTTTATCACTAACAACTGGATATAGATGGTCAAAAAATATTTATTCAACTTTAGTGAATAAACTCCACATCTTTTAGGGTAAAAATAAGAATTCTGTGTTAGATCCAAGAATGATGTTTCTAGATTACTAGTTTTCAATCTTCAGTGTGCAGGAGAATCACATTCCGGGGCTTCTTTTCCATGGGTAGGGAGGGAGGTGGGACTTAGGAACCTACATTTCATACATCACACATGTGACCGCTGCAGATGGTCCTTGGGACACACTTGGGAAATTCTAACATGGATGCATTCTGCTGTAGCAATGAAGACTGCATGGTTATGAGAATATATGTGTACTTACTATTACAAAGGTTATGACTGCATTTTATTTCAAAATATAGCTTGAAAGAAAGTATGACTTATGACTTCAGAAAGTCTTATGGTGTATACAATATATATTAGTAGATATTTGTCTAATAATATTTTAAATTATCATGCATTCATAATGGTATTAACTCTTAAGGACATTTTGGCATATGTTTTCTCTTTATATCTTTCCCCTTAATAACTGTTTGGTAGACAGGACAACTATGATCATTATCTCTGCTGTCACAGCTGTTGCTGTGATGAAGAAAGCAGGTGAAGGGCAAGCAGGGGGCATGGCCATTTGTAACAGCCTCCAGGAGAGGCCAGATCCTTCAGGCTGCATGTCCTCTGTGCCCCTGTCTGGCTCCCCCCTTGCACTTCTAGTCTTTCTAAGGTGCCTGACCAGCTGCAGGAGGTAGACTGAGGGTCTTCAACTTCTTTTCTCATCAATCTGTAGGCAGCAGATCATTTTTTCAGTTTGGTATCCATATGGAAGCTCTAACTAGAGACCATCAAGTGTTACTTTGAAGAAACTACATATACAGTGGGTCTACAAATCTAAAAGTTGGGGGCATAATGCCTTGCCTTCTCCCCCAACTTACTTCAACATCCCTGCTCCCCCCATAGTAGCTACCTCAAAGAGTAATACTTGTGACTTTTGTATCCATCTACAAATCTGCTTCTTAGGACAATTGACATGACACTCTTGAAGATTAAATGAGATAGCATATGAAAAACTCTGCAAGCTAAAAAAAACCCTACACTATATACATATATTCTAAATAGTCTCATGATTATTAAAGATTCACTTATGTCATTTCTATAATAATATGTCTAAAATAAGTCTCCATTACTTGCAAAACACTTTTATTTTTACAGACAAAATCGAATGCTATCAGTTAAATGGGAACCCAATGCTTCTTTAGCACCTAGAAATCTTATTCTAATTCTCATTGACAGAATTATTTTAGACTTAACTAGGGAAAACAACAGAATGAATGGATTTGTGTGTGTGTGTGTGTGTGTGTGTGTTGAAACTGACGTCAGGTATTGTGGCAACGATGTAAGAGATTAAGAGAGGATTCTGAAGGGGATTAACATACCCTTCAAACTTGAGAAAACTCTGGAAAGACTTGGATTCTTATAGTGTATGAAATAGTAAAGATGCTGCCTTGCATAAGAAGCAAATTTATTTAATTTGTGGCTCTGTTCTTTGGATCAAAATTTCCTCTGCAAAGATGGTCTCTGTAAATCTGTTGTCTCCCTGGCCCAGGAGCTCTAACTTTGGGTACTTTGTCTTCTAAATGTACCAGTAATAGTCTTCTTCCTGCTGGGTAGGTACTTAGTAAGGTAATGCTTTCCAGATAAAATTGGGATGTCAACTTCAGACTTGAATCCAGGGTGTGTCATTGAAAAAAGGAGGCTGACATCCTTGGGGATGGGAGCTCCATCATCCTCCTGGCAGTGTACAAATGGGCACAGGGACCCAGGAATGACTGAACACATGGAGGTGTACATAGATTTGTAAATGGGACAGTCACAGGATAAAAACCAACTTAATCACTTACCAACTATATAGTCCTGACAAAGACTTAACTTCTCTATGTTTCTAAAGTCAACAGAATATAATAGATCTACTTTCTAATGAGTCTCTGAAGGGTTGGTCTATGTTTATATTGTGAAGGTTAAAAGAATTAAATCATGGAAAATGCTTATCACATTGCTTGATGGAAAAGGTAGCTACTATGATCACAGAGGTATTTTTTTTTTGAAATACCTTTAGAAAAATTTTCTCTCTTGAAAATACGGTGGTAATTTCTTCCATGGATTATCTGACATGGCCCAAAAGAAATTTAAATGTACTGGCAAGTAGGTGAAATGACACTCACTTTCCTTTTTGCCATTATTCAATAAACACTTGCTGAACCCGTTAGCTATGTTGCAAAGCACAGTGCTGGGCCATAGAGTGACACAGTCCTTGCTGTAGATGAGCCATGAACTTCAGATAGGACCACACCTTTCCTGCTAAAGGGCAGCCAGGGAAGGGAGCTTTGCAGTGCTGGGCTCCACCTATCTGCCTTTTACCTTATGAACAGAGTGACACTGCCAGTTAACATGAACTTGATGTGAGACAGCAGCTAACACATGTCTTTCTTCTTGCGTTGGGCTAACACCACACCCCACTTCCTTCGGAGGGTGTGTGACACTTTACAAAGAAAATACAGTATTGAGTAGTATCACCACAGCAAGCGGAAATGGCAGTACTCAGTCCTCAGACAAGTCACCAGTTTTGTACCCGGAATTCACATGGACTCGTTTAACTGCTAGCAAGAGCAGGTGATGGTGGTCTGGGTCACTGCCATCAAATGAAGGATGCTGCAGTACAGGCAGTGTGGCCCAGGTAAGAGGACCAGGTGGGAACTCAGAGCTGAGTGGACGTGCGCTGAGGTCTCTGTGCACTGCCCTGCGTCTTGCACACAGAAATGCCCCCAGTTTACAAATGAGCATCTTGTAAAAGCTTGTTTGCAAATGTTTGGAGTGTCAAATCCATGGCAAGTACAAGGCTAAGTAATATTTACATTCTCACATCATTAATCACTAACCTGTTAATTCTTAAGGCAGCAAAGGTTAATTTATAAAACTAATTGCGTACGAGGCATTGTTCTCACAGTATACTCTGTTTTTCTTTCTGTGACACTTCAGATTGACTCTGGGCTAAGTAGCGCACTTGGGACCTAATTTCTGAATCTAAAAACTATGAATTGGTTTTACTGTGAGAGTTTATTTTACCATATGAATTCACTTTTTCCAAGTTGCAGCTACATCACCACCTCTCTGCAAGATAAAGCCACTAGCTCATTGTTTCTCTAAGTGTGGCCCTGGGGGAACCCCAAGGTCAGCATCACCTGGGAACTCTATAGAAATGCAAACTTCTAGCCCTTCTTTGTTCATGCCTGATGAGTTAGAAACTGTGGGGTGGGGCTCAGCGATCTGAACTTTAGGAAGTTACACAGTCAGAGAAGCTGTGTTAGACAGAAACCAAAGCCAGGGCTGAAGCTTCCTCATCTTTGCTTGCTCAGCATCCAGTACAGCCCCTGGGTTTACGTAATTCAAAGTCATTGCTGCTCAGCCAGGAAAAAGATTGCTCTCCTAGAGATATTTGGTCAAGTGTGGAGATAATTTTGGTTGTCACAAGTTAGGGGCAAGAGATGCAATCAACAATGAGTAGGTTAAAGTCAGCGATAATGCCAGATAATCTGTAGGGTGTAGACCAGACCCCTCTCCGCACCAGATACACCCATGGGGCTGAGGCTAGGGAAACTTGTTCTAAATTTGTATTAAAAGAGGCAGTACCAGGAATACCGCCCCAGTCCATTCTTCACAATCTCCTATCACATCCTCAAAATTGGCTAACTCTAGGTCCAAAGTGAAGAGGGAATACTAGGTTGGGGAAGTTTGTTTTTCTCTTTATCATATTCCTCTCTCATTTGAAGATCACACATAACATAGACTTTGGTATGTAATATGGTCACAATAAGTATCCTGAGCAAGTGAATGGATGAGTCAGTTACAATAAGGAGATATATCAGCTGGGGATATTTTTATTCTCCTCTCCTCTTCCCTCTCTCTGTCTCTGTCTTTATCTTTCTTTTTTTCTCCCATTTTGAAAGTTGAGATGGTCCTTAGTGGTCAAATAGTTTGGCCTCTTGTACAACACAGGAGGGCACTGAGCCTCAGAACAATCCAAGCAAGTGACCCAAGCTACTTGTTCAGTTCAAGGGAGAAGTGGTACCAGGTGCCAAATACCTGTCGCCTTTCCTCTGTCTCATTGTCTTAGTGGTCTATAGATCCCCTTAGCAGGAATCTGATTTTAAATGAGTGACTAGGTTTGCTTCTGCACACAGCCTCAGTCCCTCTTGGACTGAAAGAACAACTTAATCAACCAGATGGCAGCACCTCGGTCCACTCACACTTCATTATCTATGATTTGTACTAGTTTTGCTAATTTCAAACTGTTCTAGCCTCAAATGCAGCAGCCAGATGAGTGAGTTCAACTAACTGCTCATCATCCACACCCCATAGGGCTCTCTTCTATGTTCATCACAAACACAGAATGGGAAGAGATCACCACCCTCTCTAACCATCTTTGGGGAATGGAGTAAGGAAGGATAAATAATGAGAACCAGATGAGGCACCAAGTTCCATGTCCTGTGCCATCTACACAGCTGACAGTGTAAAACAAACCAAATAGCTTCCTGGCAAAAGTGATTTCCCCAAGTCCAAAAATTTGAAATTCATATTTTGTTTAAGAATGTTAGGAGGGAAGCATGTGCACAGCCAGGGTATCCTTGGGCTGCAGGGAAGAAAAGGGCTAAATCCTGGAGAGACAACTTTTCCTCTTTAAAGGAGCAAAGCCTAGGACATCTTGATGCTATCCATCCTCACACCATGCTGAGTCTCCTGACCCAGGCGCTTGGAACTGAACACATGCTCACTGAGCTGATGTGAGCACGTGTGATAGACAGATGGGGCAGGGGGCCTGGCTGGCGGGGAGTCAGATGAGGAGCTGTGCCTTTTGCTCTTGGCTCTTCCCCAGGGTATATGTTGAATCCCTGTTCAAAGGTTGCAGATCTTTTTCTTCCTTGTTTTTATTTTTAAAAATAAAACTTTGCCTTGTTCTAAAAGGATTGAAATCAATATGCAATTTTAACCTGTACTTCTGCTATCTTTTAGGGAATTGAATAAGAATAAGGACTGACTAAATCTGACATTTACTCAAAGTGCTTTGAGACAGTCAGAGGCGGTTCTGGGGATAAAGAATAGGCGCACCGCTGGAGCCTTAACTCAGGACCTGCTACCATTAAAAGCATGGTCTGCACTCATCCTAACCCTCACCCTCCTGCACCACCTGACTGGTCTCAAACATGGACAGGAACAAACCAGATGAGAAAATAAGGCTGTTAGGGATCATCACAGAGGGACAGAGCACAAACTTTCTGGCCCTCAACCTGGTACTCATTAAAAGCCTGAGTTGTTTTTTGTTTTTTGGGGTTTTTTTGTTTTGTTTTGTTTTGTTTTGTTTTTCCTTCTGAGCCAGGGACTTAGAAGCTACTTTAACAAAAAAGCACGGAATCTTCACGTGGCCTGCAGATGCCAAATGGATAACTAAAAGTAAGACGAAGCTTGGCATCACATTTGTCTCCTTTATTATCTTAAATGTTGGCTCGGGTTCCTGCTCAGCATGTTAATCATACAAAGAATGTTTACCTAAAGACTGATATATTAGCCTTAAAACTACTTATCCTATCTCGCTCTTCAATAATGAGAATATCAAGACAAGCATAACTACATTGTTTTCATGATTTACAGGGACACTCAATGAACAGCCTTTACCACGGCCTGTTCCAGACCTCCTGCAGTGGTACCAATCATCATCCCAAACCTGCAACCATCTTGGATTCCAGAGGAACCACCTGTGACTCGCTCACCTGCTAAGTAGGAGCGATCATCTCATGGGAATCAGACTCATCCGTCAAGCAGTGAGGACTCCTCTGGAGCCACCTCAGAAATCAGCTAGAAATCAGGTCCATGCCAGTAGCCTGGTTAAAAGCTACAGCCTTCCTTTGATAAATCATCATCCTGATTTTCTCTCTCTCACTTTTCCCTCTTCAGCGCAAGCTGAAGGCCCTCCCTTTTCTATCTTCCTTTTGAAATACAAGCTTTGGCTCATATTTCTTGGCCTAGTTTTGCATTTTTTTCACCACTGAGTCAAGGGATCCCCACTCCATTATCACTTTCATGTGTGTCATTTATTGCCATAATCTTGAGTCATATCCAAGATGATATTCTTGTCCTTATTTTTCAGATGGGGACACAATCTCAGACAGACCAGGTGATTTATCCAACACTGCATAACTAGCCACAGCCGAATGGGAAACAGAACTCAAGAGCCACAGCTAGCCAAGAGTATGCTGTGGCCAAGTCTCCTTCCTCGGCCCCTCTGAAAGCTCATAGGGTTTTTTGTCTCCTGTAACCTAAGTGCAGTTCTATTAATAATTATTTTTAATTACATCTTATTGGGTGAAATCTTTTTGTCAAGAAACTTTCTGTTCTCCCTGTGTTCCCTGCGGTGGTCCTCACTGCAGAGACAGGATGATTAAAAGATGTTTTGAATCTGTAATGTGATTATTTATCCCAGGCTCATCCAGGGCTTTGGCCTCCATTGCTGTAGGAGCTAAGATGAGGAGTCTCTTATCTTCCCATATTTACACTTAGGGAGAGGGGGACACAGGCTGCTTTTCTGGTTCTGTGCCCACCCTCCCCCATACTTCCTCCTTGGGCCCTTTGGAGTTCAATGCTTCTGAGTCTTTGATGTAGATGTATAAGGGGCTAAGAGGCGAATGATATAAACAGAATATCTGGGCTGCAGGCAAAGTGGGAAAAAAGGAAGTGGAAGGGTTTTCTCTTTGCAGAAGAAATTTGCTGATTGCCCCAGGAGCATGGAGTGGGATCCTGGCCCTACAGCTTCCCCACAGATGTGCCTTCTGTTCCTGGCTGACACTACCCTCCTCTCACCTCTTGGTTGCTTGGACTCAGGCAGGAATAGCTGCATTAGGGTGGTGGCTCACTGAGATTCAAACTCTGGGCCTTGTGGCTGGGGCTGGAAGGAAGAGTCTTCGGTGGGCAGTTTGGAGGATACAGCAGGCAAGTCTGCCTGTGCTATCTGCAACCGAGTCATGACTTCTTCACTGGGCCTCTGTAAGCTAGGGGCTGGTTTTGGATTGCTTTATACATGGGAATAGCCACTCAGCAAAGAGATAGGCAGCATTAGATAGAAGCAGTTCCACTGGGAAATGTGAGGCTCAAGCTTGCCATTCAAGGCTCTGGTTGCCAGAGTTAGGGTTTTTTGTGTTTTGTTTTTTTGTGTCTTTTTGGAGACAGAGTTTCACTATGCAGTTTGAGCTGGCCTTGAGCTCACTTTGTAGCCCAGGCTGGTCTTGGACTTGCAGTGATCCTCCTGCCTCTGCCTCTTGAGTGCTGGGATTACAGGTGTGCACCACCACTCCTGGCCAGGGTTAGGTTTGAAGGATGTACAGAATGGTTCCTGTGGAGCAAGAACCTCCCCACTGGTTCTTTCTGCCTCTAGAACATCACCGTTAAACAGTGAGACTGTTCTTGCTTTGCTATGATACTCTGCTGATATCCCTGACGGTGTAGCTCTCTAACCACCCAGTCATTATCTGGTGGAAAGCTGGAGCTGGAATGAGACCAAACCTCCTCATTTAGGTTCCAGGCTATTAAATTTTGCGTTTCCAAACGACCTAGAAAGAAGACACTTTTGTTTTTAATATTTGATAGTGACATAAGTAGGAACAGTTCTCTAATTCTCAGGAAGAAATGAGAGTAAATTTAATTATTATGGCTCAACTTTTCCTTCTTTGGTGCCCAGTTTTGTTTTGTTGCAATTTCAGGACTGATCAGTGAGGAAGGCTACCACATTTTGGAACTCTGAGGAGAATAGTTTTGGTTTTTTTCCTGCGAATTTGGGGATGTTTATTCTTTTAAGAATTTACGTATATTAACTCTTTAAAAAGTCCTTTGGGGCAGCACACTGCATTGATCTGTATTTTGTGTGACTCATTCACTGTGTATTTAGCTATACAATTCCCCAATTTAAATAAAAATAAAGGTTTAGTTGGCTAGAGGCTTCTCATCTTATGGCAATAATCTATAAATGATCTGTTTATTTATATCACAAATATCTATCAAGAATGAATTATAGGCTAGTGTTGGTGGGAAATAAGAAGTTTGCCCATGAAATCCTTGAGTTTTAGTGGAAGCAAAAAACCATGACTACAACAGTACTGATAGAAACTTTGGAGGCCTGAATAGCTTACAACACAGCATCTACAATTTTGCATTGCTAGATCTCTCTGAGACAGGAACAGAATTTGAATGTAATGCATTGACTGAATTGCCAGGGGCATTTGATCACGCTTTTTGTAACACTGTCTTCTAGGGCCATATATTACAACATCATAAAATAAATTCTAAGACAGGTATAGTGGTACATGCCTATAATTCCAGCACTCAGGAGGCTCAGGCAAAGAGAATCACCACAAGTTCAAAGCCATCTGGCCCAGCACAGTGAATCTGAGGCCATTCTAAATTACATAGGAAGACCTTGTCTCAAAAATCCATGAAAAGAAAAAAAAGAAAGAAGGAAAAAGATAAGCTTAATGTTTAATTTGATTTTATAAACTTGCCTACTTTGTGCTTCAAATTACAGAAGTCATATGGCTACCTATATCATACTTCTATTATATAATCCCTGGAATATGCTGGGAAGATATATAATCCGTAGGTATAGGGCAATGCAAAGGCCAGGTTACATTCTGTATTGTGTCTGCCAAACAAAACAAAAGAACTCTTTCTCTACTTCTGTTCCAAAGTCCTGAAAACAAGAAGGAAATGTCACCACCAGTGTAACTTTTACCTATATAGAGTTCCTTGTGCAGGCTCTAAGGGAAGTCACAGGCTGGGAAGTCACTGTTTTGGTGGACCCCAACCAGCAAGTTGCCTCCCAGAGAGAGCACAGCCCTTAAATGTCTAGTAGGAGGCAGGGGCTGCTCTCCACCGTCCTTTGAAGTCATGCTCATTAGTTAGGCCAGCAGTTCCTGTATTTCTGTGTGCTCAGTAATTGGTGAGCTCACATCCTGCCATGTTTACATTTAAAAAGAAAGGAAGAAAAAGTCACACAGGTGGTGCTCAGGCATCTGAAAATACTCAGCCCTGGCAGTGTGGCACATGCTTCACTGTCACTGTCTGTTGAGTCTAATCTGTTTTCTTTCGGTCTGCAAATAAGGAAAAAGCAAACAACAAAATGGGAGGAAAGGTGATGTTGACAAAAAGGTGAGAGAAGAAAAAGAAATCTGTTACAACTAAGTTTACTGAGTCCATTCACGAGAGTAAGAGATCATACATCATCTTAAAGATAATGTCAACTCTGTCACCCTTATCAGAAAGAAACTAACTGCTACTTTGTGGTTGCTTAAGAAAAACAAACACACACCTCCAGCCACTGAAAACACTGTCACAGATGAGCATATGAACTCCCTGCTAAGAGTGCAGATTTGCACACAATGCCTTCAGGCCCTGCAGTGCTGCTTTCCAGAGAGGCACCCTGAGTAGGGCAGGGGCCAGGGACCAGCAAGAGAACAAGGACTCAGGGAATATGGAGTTGGACATGCTCATTTCCACTAATGTCCCATCATACCCTTCTGGGTTGAAATGATAGTGGTCTTATTGGCTAATGCTCTCTGCAGGCAGCTGGCAGCACTGAAAAGAAAAGCAATGCCAAAGGCAGCCATGGTAGAAGGAGACAAGTCGTCTCTCATAATGCTAAAAGGTTTTCCTGTCTGTACACAACTTCAAAGCAGCCCATCTTCGCTGTTGCCCCAGATAAGCCAAACTGATGGTGTCACTGATCTCACTATGGTAAACTTACCATCTGTTTGAAAGGTCTTGGAAAAGAGGCTTGGGGAGAAGAAGGTTTATAGAATTACGAGATTATGCGAAGTATAATTTTTTGTGGAAATTTTATTAGGAAAATAACTCTGAAAGCAGGTAAGCTATTTATCAGAGTAATCATTTTGAGTTTAATTCCTGCCACATGACATCCATTGTGATAGTTCTCATATAGCTTTATGTTTCTCCCCAAATTAATGTTGCTCAAGGTTCTTCACCAAACAGATTTAATGATTCAATCCCCATGTCAGCTGAAGTACCAATCTGTCCATTCTAATAACCCAGCGACTAGAGAATTTATTGTTACCAACAAGGAGCAAGCCTACAATTAACTACAATGATCAACTCTCTTTGACTTAGGCCAAGGTTAACAAATTAAGATACTATACCAGAAAACTGGGTCTTTGCTTGTTGGTTTGATTCATTTGGCTGAGATTCATTATTTGAATTCATGTGATGACCATTCAGCCCCTATTCTCTTATCTAACTAACCCTGAGCCGTGTTCTATCCACTTGGCTCCCCTGATGCAGACCTGTTGTAAATTTCCTTGTGATTGGCGAATAGGGGAGACAGCAGCGGAGAAGTGTGAAAAAAATGATCATTTTCATGAAGCCAGCACTTTGGGAGCCAATCTCTCCTTTATAAAATAATAATAACAGCAGCAGAGAACCTACTATGTCTGATCTCAGGAGCTGGGTAAATGAAAAAGGTGCGTTTCTCACCTCTGATCTTCATGGGACTTACAATTTAAAAAGGAAAGAGAAGAAAGGTAAATTAGTATCCACTGCGTTGGGCACTGTCTCTTATTTTTCAAGATCTCATTAAGTCCTTAACACTATATTCGAAAGACCAGCTACTCTCCTATTTTGCAGATAATGCAACAGATGCTTAAAAGGTTAGAGAAAATATTATTCAGGCATCAAAAGAAGGAAATTCTAAGACATGTTGCAATATGGATGAACCTTGAGGACACTGTATTAAGTAAAACAAGCAGTCACAAAAAGGGACCAATACTGTATGATTCCACATAAGCAGGCTACATAGTCATAGAGGTAGACAGAAGAGTGGTGGTTACCAAGGGCTTGGGGGAGGTGACATGGGGGGTTAGTGCTTAATGGATTCAAAATTTCTTCTTCGGAAGATGTAACAGCTCTTGAGGAAGATAGTAAGGAAACTTGCCCAACAATGCAGATATTCTTATCACTAAACTCAGTGCTTGAAAGTAGATAACACAGAAAACTTTATGAGATTATATATAAGATATAGATATAATCTCTCTATAGATACAATATCAATGTAGATAATATATCAACAACAGCAGGGTTAAAATAGATTGTGCAAGACTCCTAGCTGGTAAGTGGAGAGATGAGGAACTAACATTATATATCAGGCAGTAGTCACTATGTTGTACAGAACCTGCTGCTTAGTATTTTTATTATTTACTATTTTGTGTGTTGATTAATAGCAAACCCTTTAAAACAAAAAAGGGCAATGAACGATGAATGACAATGAGGGCGGGGGGAGGGACTGCCTTGCTCCATATTCAATC